CCGCAGAGCGCCTCAGGGACACAGCAAACCACACTCCCCAGAATGCACTGCGGAGGGAAGCGGGTGAGGTCGCGCCCGGGGTGGCTGTAGTTTTCCGAGACCAAATTTCCCGACTGCACCGTACACCTCCCGCCTGTAGAGAACTACATGCCCCAGCGTGCCCCGCAAAGGGAAGCAGTCAGGGAAGAGCTGGTTCGCCTTAGTACTCGCGATGGTTGCCTCCACCTCCTCTCGCCAACCTGCATAGAAGTTTGTAGACTCAGAGGTGGGGCGGGAGGCGGCAGTTTTGGGCGGGTCTGGGCGGAGCTAAGGGGGACAGCAGAGGCGGAAGAGGTGGCCCGTGAGCCGGGGAAGGGGCTGGCCCCGGAAAGAGGAGGAAACCCTGAAAAGAAAACAGCAACAAGCTGAGCTGCTGTGACAGGGGAAGAAGATGGCGGCGTCGAAGGGGAGCCTCTGGGTCAGGGCCCAACTGGGGCTCCCGCCGCTGCTGCTGCTGACCATGGCCCTGGCCGGAGGCTCGGGAACCGTTTCGGCTGAAGCGTTTGATTCGGTCTTGGGTGATACGGCGTCTTGCCACCGGGCCTGTCAGCTGACCTACCCCTTGCACACCTACCCCAAGGTAGGGCCCGTCCGAACCGGGCTACAGTCCTTCTCTGGCCGCCCATCCCTCCATTCTCCTGCATCTCTGTCCGCTGTCTGAATCCACCATTCAACAGCTGTCTCCCACCTTTATAGCTCCTGTTTTCTCCTCTAATCCTACCCGCCAGCCGCTCCTTCTGTAATTACCGGAAGTTAGTGCTGCACCTACCTTGTAGTGGGGTTGGGGGACACAAAGCTGAGAAAGATATGACTCCTCTTCTCTGGGAGCTTGCGGGGCAGCAGGGGAGACGAGCATCCCCAGGGGGAGGAGGATACTGATGATTAATGGGGAGGTCCTCACCTTCTTGGTGCATAAAGAACGGCGGCGGCCCGGAGCAGATATGCAGGCCCACAAAAGGGTTCGTTCCTAACCCATGTTTACTGAGCGCTTCTCTGGGCTGGGAGCGCGCAGTCTGTTCGGGGAGTCGACAAGTGGACAATTCCATTGTGGAAGGAAATGTATTGTAGCCCAAGGAGTTGTGAGACGCACAGGAAGGGCTTTCTGCCTGTGTTGAATTACTGTATGCAGGGCGCTGCCTCTAGGGACTGGCATGGCTTAAAGAAAAAAGCTCTAAGGTTTTGGCATTCAAAGAATTCACCACTCAGTTCAGAAGGCAGGGAATTCGTGGAGTAGTGGGTAAAGAAATGAGACCGCCCCTCAGTGGAGGGGGGGCGGTCATAGCTTAAGGAGAAGGGTGACTCCACTTTCACCTCCCCTCCACCCCCCACAGGTGCTGCCTTTTCAGCTTCTTGAGAACTCTACTCAACATTCTAAATTGTGTGGTAACTCCCCAGTTCTTTCTCATATATAATTTGGGTTGTATGCCCCTCTCTGCCCAATGCTTTTATAAGAGTTTTTGGTAATAATGTTGCTGGTCCTTTTCTCCTTGTTTTTCCATCATCCCCTCTGTTTGCTTAACCATGTGACTAAGCCCTTTTTGCTCTCTCAAACTACAAAGTGACCAGGAGGACAAGTCCAGTGAAGTTAGGATGTTCCTTATTGGCAAGTGTTTCAGGTCTTTGAAATGAAAAGTTCTAAATGCTATCACCCCATATGTCAGTTTACTGCTGGATTTTACATTGCATGAGGATTATCGGTTTTCAAGAAAAAGTTTAGGGTAGGGTATTATCCTAAAATTTTCAGTTAGAGACATATATATAGCAAGAGAGAGAAATTCGAAATTCTGACTTCCAGACTTAAATCAATGTATACTGCCCCTAAATACATTATTCTCTAATTGTAAACCTCTCATCAAAGAGGATTGTATAAGGAAACTCATTAATATTGATTTGGCCTAGTTTGGGGCAGACTTATTTTGTATCATTTGACCGTTTGGGTGTGGGTTTTGGGTTTTTTGGGGGTTTTTTAAGATTTTTCTAGCAAATTTGTAGTATGAATCAGAATGCTGAGAGAATAATTAAATAATTCAAAAAAATAATACCCACTACTTTGTAAAAATTGATGTGATATCTGTAAGTCATTTTCACTTACACTTAAAAGCTGTTCTCACCAGGAACTCTAAATCACCTGGTCCCTGTATGTCTTTGACTTAAAATTTATTAACTGTCTACCCTCTGTTAGCAAATATGATGAGAGACTTACACTCATTGTCCCTAATTCTCACAACCACCCTGCAAAATAGGGTTTTACAATTGAAGAAATTGAGGCTCTGAAAGATTGAGTGACTTATCCAAGGTCATAAAGCCAAGAAGTAGTGGAGTAGTAGGAATTCAGTCCTAAAACTGGCTATACTATGCTATCTTCTGTTAATAACGTTGTATTAAATTTACTTATTTCACTGATTTCTGTTGGCCCTCCTCCTCTGAATTATTGTGCTTTGCAGTCAGGAAAAAGCAGTGTGTTATGTAAGAAGTGAGTTTAGATGAATTTACAAGCTCACATAGCCCCACTTGTTCTGGTATTTGTAGCTTGCAGATAGAAATCTCATCTTGATGACTCTTTTTTTCAGAATGAATTATTTGTTGTAAGAAAGTAGAATACCTTACCTGTTCATAAGTAGTTATTTAAAAATCATTTTATTTTACCCTTTAACTTTCCTCAAAAGTGTAATTGCATAATTTCCCTGAGTCCAAATACAAGAGACATAAGTTATGTTAATAACAAAGATATAACTAGAGCCAGCCTAGTCATTTTTTTTTAACAAAGTGTGGGCTCTGGAACCATACAAACCTGAGTTCCATTCCCAGCTCCACTTTTACTATCTGTGTGTCCTTGCTGATCACTTAACTTTTTTTTTTTTTTTTAGATTTTTTTATTGGGGAGAAGGGGAAAAAGGAGAACAGCGCTGGGGAATCAGGGGCTGCAGCCTACGCCGTCGCTGGCGACCCATGGCAGCCCAGCTCCAGGTTGAGCTGTTGTTCAGCATCTTAGCTGTAGAGGGCAGTGCCACTGGCCCTAATATGTGGGATCCGAACCAGGGCCCTCTGGCATCCCAAGCCAGTTCTTAACCATCGTGCCACTTGGCCGGCCCTCACTTAACTTCTTCTGACTTTGTTTTGCCAGCTGTAAAAAATAAAAACCTCACACCTTGCAGAACTAGGGTGAGGATTCAAGACAATATATGTGGCATTCTCAGCACAGTGCCTAACACATGGCAGCAGATAGCTATTTCTTCTGCTATATGTCATGAAGCCAGTTTGGTGTGTATAGTATTAGTAGTGCTGAATAATGAGCGAATAGTTGGCTTGACCTACCTCAGGATATGAAAATGCATATAAAATCTATAAATGGTGTCATTGAGATGCCTTATTATTTAGCTGGTGTTCTGTTTGGTGGGGAGCACCATTTCCTTGTGCTCTAAATCAGAGGAGATTTATAAAAGCTTGCCAGTCATTTGGAATACATAGGGCATGAATTACTTAGAGTAATATCTAAAACATGAAACACGTACTTGGAATAAGGATATTATTCTTCATAGCTACCTACTGAGTGCCTATTCTATAGTGGATGTTGTATAAGATGTTAAGTGTTAGTATGGTGCCTGGCACATTGTGGGTGCTCATTAAATATGTTATTAAAATTATGTTTATTTATGAGATGGTCTAGCACAATATTAATGATATTGTGTATATAAAATGTATAATTCTCATATTCACAATTGACGTAAGAATGTTGTCCCTGTTTTACAACTAAGAAACTGAGGCTGAGAGAGATTGTTACTTGCCCAAGGTTGTACAGTATAAGTAAGTGGTGAGGCTGCGTTTCAAGCCTAGGCTCTTTTCACCATGCCATACTCTCTTTTGAAAAGGGTACTGGAGGGCTAGTTGGGTTGGTTTAACAGAAAAAAAACATACCTGAAAATGAAATGGCATGCAGTATAGCTCATACTAATGAGCTTATGCTTCCTCTGTACAATATAAGGAAATGTGTGGATACTCCAAAGACATGAGAATTCTTCCATTGTTTTACAAAGTCTGCAAAAGCAACTCAGGTATGAAATTTATTTTAATTGTTTAAATTCTTTCAATTTCACCTTAACAAATGCAACTAGAACTGAGGTCCAAAAATGTGCTACCTTCAAAGCTGTACAGTAAAGCTTGTTTAATATTAGACTGCAGCCATCTCTTCCTAATGGATTGCTGCTGCTACATAAATTTTACTAATCCTTCTGCTGGAAAGAAATAAATACCTTTGTACTGATTGTTAACTGGTATATGCACATCCTGTTTCCTTATTAGGTGCCTGCCAGTTTGTACACAGTGGATCACACAGTAAGTTGAGGGGCTTCCCCTACATGTACTGGTTTGTTTTAAATACTGTATGTATTGCACTGAAGAAAAGCCTGTTGAAGACATTGTCATTGGCCTTACTAAGCAGTTAACATTTTCCAGTAATAAAGAACCTATCCTATCTTGATCCCACATACAATGATGTCTATAACTATTGTTTCCTATTTTAAAAGTCTATTATTATGATTAACACTACTACCATTTATTGAACACCTTCTATGTCCCAGGCACTGTGCTAGGAATAGCTGTCTTGGAGCATTTTTGAGGGAGTTGGAGATAATTTATAGCTATTATCTCCTTTTATGATGAAAAAACTGATCTGATATAGGTAAAGTAACTTGTGCAGGGTCACTCACCCCTGTCTGATTCCTTCCATTGGCCTTTCCCATATGTCACACTGTTTCTCTTATTTGTGTTTTCAGTTAAGGTAAGCCAAGTTTTAAAAATCCTTTCATGTAAGCATTTTTACAGATGTACACCTCACTTTGTGGGGCTCTTTATAGCACTGTTTGCCATGTGAAGCCAATCATGATACTTTTCCTGATAAGCCTGATGATTTGTATAAATATTTATGTGGCAGAAATGTGCCATTGGTCCTAAGGTACTTGCTTAATCATTTCTACCTCTATTAAAGTCCTGATTATGTCACTGTTATTTTATTTTCAGTTTTCCTCACAAAATAATGACCACAAAATATGGGGAAAGAGTGATTTTACCCACTAGTCTCCTTTTCTTGGGTATCACTTTAAAAATAAACTAAAACCTTTTTATATGGCAAAGGTCTTGGGTATTACCTGTTTCCTATCATTTTTCTTCCAGTTATAAAACTTTTATTGGACAGTTTATAATAAACCCTACTAACTTTGCTTTCTTTTTGGCCTTTTTTCCCTGAGGGATAAATACTATTTTTTAGTAATCCTCTGTGTTCTTGAATTCCCTAGGAAGAGGAGTTGTACGCATGTCAGAGAGGTTGCAGGCTGTTTTCAATTTGTCAGTTTGTGGATGATGGAATTGATTTAAATCGGACCAAATTGGAATGTGAATCTGGTAAGATGCTGTGCTAATGACATCAATAGTTGTATAATATTGATGTTTTCTTTGAGTTGTGTTGTACTTTTATTGTATTTTCCTCAGCAAATGACAAGCATAATGTTTAAACTAGTCACCCAGCATATTTTAATTATGAAGTTTTAGTAGCTGCTGCTAGAAATTTCATGGGCTTTAAATTTCATCTGTTTGTTGACACAATGTTTATTTTGTACTATGGATAGGACACCTTTGTTTAACCAAGTATTTGTTTTAGACAAATGCAGTAGTAATTACCCTTCTCATAATTCATCACTACCTTTTCAATGGATAGTATAATTTCCCTAAGCCTTTCAATCATAGGCTAGTTGACTTCACTCCAAGTTTTTTACTGAATCAAGCCTTTGACTGAGTATTTAATAGTGTATTCTTTGTGGGTCATGCCAATAAAAGAAGTAACCAGCATCTTTGTCAGCTCTTAAACCACTGTTCTTACTATTGGCTGAAAGAGATGTGTTTAATAAATGAAACCTGTAATCAGGACAAAACTGACATTTAACTTTTTAAAGAACTATTATGGAATTTTTCCTTTCATTACATGACACTGTTTATCCTGTGTAACAAAAGGTACCTTACTCTCTATCACTATGCTATGACTCACATCCAGCCTCTGTGATATAACCTTATTTTTTATGGCTCAGTATCCTAGCTGGCCATCTTTAGATGTGCATAATGCTGTTCATTTTATTATCGAGCATCTTTGAGAAGTGTATTACAAGTACATGACTGGGTTGGAAAGAAAAATAAGATTGTTATAGTGGTGAAATGTTCTATCACAAGAAAAAAATGGCTCTTGTGAACTAAATGAAGAGTATATTTGGTAGAGACCCCTTTCAACTTTAGAATCCTGCTGTAGAACATTTTCTAAGTTTCGTTTACTCAGAAATTAGGGTGGTACACTGATTGCTTCATTTTTCTTTGCCATGTGAATACCCTTGCTTCTCAAAGTGATCCGGTTCTGAACAGTAATATTATATATTTGTGTAAATCACTGTACTATACTATTTTGTTCAACCCCATGAAGTAGGCGATTGTATTTCCATTTTACGCATATGGAAATCAGTAGTCAAAGAGATTAGACAGCTCAGCCGAGGTCACATACACAGCCAACAAATGATGAAACCAAAACTTCAAGATGTCTATCCAGTGTATGCAAACCTTAGCTATGAGGCTCCCTCATGTGAATGTCATCATATAGCCAGAACCTGAGTGTGTAATTAATAGATTTATACCTGAAATATTTGACTTGTAGGAAGTAAAAGATAGGTTTTTTTGTGTTGTTTTTTTAAAAAATAATACATTTGCTACTATTACCAAATTTGGAAATTCACACTGATGAAATGCTTTTTAAGTATAAGAAATTTCTTCATAAAATGCCAAGTCCCTTTTCTGTCCTTCCCCCTTTTCTCTCTCTCTCTCTCGCTCTCCCTCTCTTCCTCTCCTTCTCTTTCTTGTAATTTGACTGTTTTTCTCTTACAGCATGTACAGAAGCGTATTCCCAATCTGATGAGCAATATGCTTGCCATCTTGGTTGCCAGAATCAGCTGCCATTTGCTGAACTGAGACAAGAACAAGTACGAAACAATACTACTGCCTTTCAAAATTGCCTGCTTAGATTGCACGTGATTATACTGAAATGTTTATCATCCACTTGATCCTATTTTAGTGTTATATTTTATAATTAGTTTTTAGCAAACAAATTATATGTTTGCAGATAGGAAAATCAATTATACTTTTGTATATATAACACTTGACTGTTAAAAGTTATGTTCACATTTGTAATCTTATTTTGGTTTTTTGTCATGATGCAATGAAGATACTATCCCCATTTTGCATATGAAAAAAACTGAGGCTCAGGGAAATTGATAGTTTAGAGTCCTTTTTTTTCCATCCCAACTGCAATTGCGTTAACTTAGACCATGGTCATTTCTCATGAATATTACTAAATTAATTTCCAAAGTATTTTTCCACTAAAACCCCCTATAGTTTGTCTTTTAGTCTGTGTCCAGGTATTTATTTTCTAGGTGGAAATCTCGTCATGTCCTTTTATGTATTTATATACCTCTTACAATACTCCTATCTTATATACTTCAGTAGCTCCCCGTTACATACGGGTTTAAGTCCAAACCACTTATCACAACCTGGCTCCTGATTACCTCTCCCATGTCATGTTATTCCCCACCGCCCATACTCTATACTCTTAACATACTGGGAAAAGTTTCTTAATTTTATTAACTTTTGCATAGAAAATAGTCACATGGTACAAAATTCAAAAGGTTAAAAAAGAAAGTATATAGTGAAAAGTGTCCTAACCCTGTATCTCTCAGCCATTTTTCCTTCATTGAAGTAGACAGGTACTGACACAGATAATATTTTATCTGTATATACGAGGATACATGTATTTTTTTTAATATAAGTATACATAAAGAATACTCATTTTTTTCTTCTATATAATCCGTTGTATGGATGTATTATAATTTATTTAAGCATTCCCTTATTTGTGGACATGTGGGTTCTAATCTTTTTCATTTAAAAATTATATGCGTGGGCAGGGGGAGGGGGGCGTGGCCACGACCTCGTGGGGGCGGCGCTCTCGAGGATCCACCGCGGCCGCCACCGCCCTCCTTCCCAGGGAGGGAAAAAAATTATATGCATATTTTGCACATTTCTGTGTTAGAATTGGAGAGAAGATGATACCAATTAATGTTAAAATATTATCAGTAACTCACTCTGTGTATATATATGTATGTATACACACACACACAACACAATACATACATATGTATATTCAGCCCATAAATACTTCTTTCACATTTTATGCATATATTCTTTTGATTTTTTTTTCTTCCTCTTTTCCATCGATGTTCATTATTGGCATGATTTATTTTACAAGAAAGCATTAAAGATGAAAATAGTATGCTGTCCCTTTCCCTTCTACCTCTTTATGTCTTGCTAGTCTTTATTTAATCAAATCTTAAGATTCTACCCATTTTTGGACCTGATTCGAAAGTTTTTTATTCTGATAGAGATGACAAGTAGCTTATAAATACGTTTGGTGGCAAAGTAAAGGGATTTTTAAGCTTTACCATAGTTAATTTACGTAGATAACTAAGAGTTTACTCTAATGCTGATGATTATAGTAGATTCATTTAATAGTTTACACTCTGTCCCAAAAAGGATTTGAAGAATCTTGATTATGTTCCTGTTTTCAATATACATATATAAAAAATAATATATTTATCATGATTTAAATTTTTTTTTTTTTTTTAAGCTTATGTCCCTGATGCCCAAAATGCATCTACTCTTCCCTCTAACCCTGGTAAGGTCATTCTGGAGTGACATGATGGACTCTGCACAGAGCTTCATAACATCTTCATGGACTTTTTATCTTCAAGCTGATGATGGAAAAATAGTTATATTCCAGGTGATAACTATACTTCATAGATGCATCTAAATATCAACAACAGTAAATGTGTGTGTCTTAAATTAATGTCTTGGCATAGAGCCATGTATTCAGTCACATACAAATATTTATCATCAAATAATCATTACTTATTTGGCATAATGTAAACATTGGGCATCATGACACAGTGTGACTTACCCTTCCCTCTGCCCTTTGGAAGCCTATCTAAAGCTCATTGGTCCTTATCTAACAAGAATTCTGAGTCTTCTAAATTTTATAGTGGTTAAATTGAGAAAATAAAACCTTTAGATATGGGAGATAATTAATATACTTTGAATGTAAATAGTGGCATGTATATATGTATATCACATATGGATCTTAGAGAAAAGCAATAGGACATAATTTTTAGTTGTTTTTAGTGCTTTTCCTCTTAACTCTTATAAGAGAACTTGTTGAAAAAGCATGTTGACTCTTAGGTAACTTTTCTCCTGTTTCACTGTTTACCATGTGATGTGATGATAATAGTAGCTTTTTCTTGAAGGTTCTAACGTACAAGGGATTTATCTGTTTTATCTCATATCTTTAAACAAGTTCATGAGGTTGTATTATCCCTATTTTATTGATGCGGAAACTGAGTCTAACTTGTTTAAGGTCATCCTGCCAGTAAGTACCAGAAATAGGCTTCAAACTCAGGTCACTTTAGCTCCAAGGCTCATATACCACCCTACCATGCTGACTTCCTTTGAATTCTGTAGTTGAATTCCTCAGATTTACCAGCCCACAAGTTATTTTATGGTACTGTCTTTCTCTCGGGTAATAATTAAAGTAAACCTTTTAATTATTATTGCTAATTGAGTAGCTTACTGTAAGGCTAGTATGTGATTTTTAACACTGCGTCCTGAGCCTCAGGCCTATAATAAATAAAACAAAAGGAATTTTCTCTCTTTAAATTGATGAGTAAGTTCAGTGTCCTAAAGCTACTTAAGTTAAAGCTTAAGTTGTCTCTTAGAGTGGGGCCTTCATTCATTCCTGATTAAATATAAAATTAGCTGTTTCTCTCTTTGTGTCAACTTGAGTGTGACTAGGATGGAGAAGCCCCCATTTCAGAGGATCAGTGCTATATGTAAAGTATGGAGTGTTTAGCTATAATTTATGAATTGCTCATACTTAACAGAAGAATTAAAAAAAAATAGAGATAATAAGTGTTTAGCCAAAAATGTTGGCAGTCTGCTAAATGATTCCTTATCAACTAGAATTAGAACTCATTTTTGCAGGGTATGATATTTAATGCAGTATGTTGTAATTTGTCGCTCATTTTTTTTTTTTCTTTTTAATGTTGTCAGGAAGTTACACTGACTAAATAAATACTTGACGATGCCAGAAATCTGTCTGTTTCTTTGCAAGGCACTAGATCTGATGTTTAGGAAGTGCAATTAAAATATATTGTGGTTAATGTGTTTTATTTTTTATACCATATTTCTGTTACTTTTTCTCAATTTGAATGTTTATAGAGATGATGTGTTATAGAACTTGCTACTGAGAAAGGCTTTAAGAAGTACAAATGACTTAATTGCTTTCATTATCATTTTAGTCTAAGCCAGAAATCCAGTATGCACCACAGTTGGAACAGGAGCCTACAAATTTGAAAGAATCGTCGCTAAGCAAAATGTCCTGTAAGTTTTATTTTAAGCAGCTTGGGATAAAAACCTCAGCAGTAAAATCTGGTTGTGGTAGAATTGGTTGTGTGATGGTTTTTACACTACTGGAAGGTGAACACATAATTTCTAAGACAGTGGTTCTCAAGCTTTAATGTGCACTTGGCTCTGGAGAGCTTGTTAAAACAGATTTCTGATCCCCCACCTCCAAAGTTTTCAATTTACTAGATCTGGGAAAGGGTCTGAGAATTTGCATTTCTAACAAGTTCCCAGATTTTGTGGATACTGCTGGTCTGGGGACCATACTTTGAGAATTACTATTCCAAAGCCATTTAGTTTGCTTTGAAGGATGTTATGAATATAAATTAATGAAATATTTTGATATTTCCCAATAAACTAACCAAATAGTGAAACTGACCCTGAAAGTATAAGTTCCTGTTCTATGTTTATTTCCACACTAGAAGTGAGTTTTAACACATGGGAATATAGAATATCAAGCTAAAGCTGAGCTTACCTTTTAAAATGTACTAGCTCATACCTTATTTTAGATAGTGATTCAATTAACTTTCTAATTATTTTAGTGGGTGGACAATGACAGCACATAAGGCCATCTTTAACATTAGTACAAAACAAATTCTGTTATTCATGCCCACATGTAATTAAATCAAAAGCATCAATGCCAATGAGAATTTCAAAATAAAATAGGAAATCCTTAATGTAGTGGAATATCCATTTAGTGTTTGATGTGCCACAGGAACTTGGATTCATTATAAAAGTTATCAGATTACATTTATGAGAACAACTGGACATCTGTGTAGTGTATAGATCTAGAAGTAGTCATTTGAGACTGTCTTTTGGCATATAGGATATCATAATCATGTACCTTATTATTTCAGCAGATCTTCAAATGAGAAGTTCACAAGCACACAGGAACTATCTTGAAGACGGAGAAAGTGATGGCTTTTTAAGATGCCTCTCTCTGTATGTATTCCTGTTTGTTTATGGGTATTAGGAGATAAAATCTGGCTTGTATCAGAGAGATACATTCATTTTTATTATTTTAAAATTATTATTAGCTGCTCAAAAGTAAAAAGCTTTTGTATCTTTTTCCTACCAAACTTGTACTTTTAGATATTTTAGTTTGTTTAAAAGGTAATATGCATACTACTTTAATAAAACCCAAGCAGGTATTTCACAGTACAAAAGCATTCTTCTTGGGATTCTTTGATTTATGGTAAGAAATATACTTCTCCAGCCATTTAAGTTAAGCTTTAATTTAAACGTATATGTTAGTGGCTTGGGGGTCAGATTTTTGTTTTTAGCTGCATGGCTAAAGGTAGCTAAGGCTGGAGGAGGTAGATAAGATCTATAGATTAAGGAGGGCTTCATGTTCTGTACTAAGGAGTGTCAACTCTATGCCAAAGATTCTTAAGGATGGCAGGGAAATGTGGGCAGGTGGGGGTAATGGATACCTTATGCCCCCCTTGATATTCAGAAGGAGTATCAGATTTTTGAGGGTGAGGAGGGTTTTATCAAAGTATTTGTGCTTCTACTCCTCAAGGAGTTCTGATATGAGCTCTCCCCCTGCACCCCACACAAGAAAAAAAGAAAAGAAAAAGAAAGATATTGATAATTATTTACTTATAATTACTTACTGATAATTATTTACTACTCAGTTTCAGACACCAGGCCAAGCATGTAGATAGAGCAGTGAAGTGCTTGCCCTCACCGTGTGTATACTCCGTAGGCTGTTCTATCTCAGGTGTGACATTATAGTAGTCCAGACTGCATGCTTCCTGGAATTTCTTGAGATAGAAATAGTTTCTTGACAGGTTTTATCATATCAGTAGGGTTATATTGTTACCTAGAAATTAATGCCTTTTACTGAACAAAGTCTTTAGACTGGGTAAGAAAATGAATATTTAACTTTAAATTTTCCCTTCCTTTCATTTCTAAACCTTCTTTTGACCTTGTTCAAAAAAAGGGCAATTTTTGTCTCTCCAGTATTAAGGATTTTTATTTCAACTTGATAGTTTTATGAAAGCTAAGTATAATCACCAATCATAAGTTACAATTTATTCTTGATACTGCACTACCTGACATCTTATTGGTGACTTATTACCCTTTAACATTTTGTCCTTGTATTATATTTTGTTATTCTTTTAAATCAAACATTTTAGAAGTAACTTTGTAAATGTTTAACTTATGTAATAACTAGCTTTAGAGATTTAATCCTATGAAGTTTCTGTACACAAATGAATTATTATAATAGTATCCTACATTTTAATAAAAAGTATTCTTTTTTAAAGGCTTTTCTCCTCAATGATCTCATTTGACTCTTAGAACAGTGTACCCTGTGATAAGCAGGTAGATCAGAGAGGTGAATCAACTACCCCCAAGGTTATACATCTACTATGTATGTTAAAATTCAAACCTAGGTTTTCTAATTCTACATCTTCTACTCATCCTGTTCCGCCATAGCTATCTGCTTTCTAAAGGGTCATGATTTTTTCATGATTGCATACAAGATCACCTAGCCAGTCAGTGGAATCTGGCCTTCTGACTTTTATTACAGTGCTGCTTTTTATTGTATCACATAGCTGTTATGAAGGTACCCTTGGCCTCCAGAATGGAAATTGAGGTCACACTCATTTTTTCACTGGTCATTTCTTTTTGCAGAGTCTGTTATGTGCCAGGCACTGTTTAGGGACTTGAGACCTAAGAAAAGATGTTTAGTCTCTGCCTCTATGGCATTCTCAAGTCTAGTATGGTAGAGACAGACATGCAAACAATGGACACAATAATGATTGCTGTATGTCATACATACACATCTCTCTCATATACAGAGTACAAGGAATATGCCTAACTCTATCAGCTGTTCCAAAGGGAGGATTTACAGAGGAGATAGAAATAAGTCTTAAATGATGAGTAGACATTTTTGCCAGTTGTAGCACATTTGTTTAATTTTTTTCAGCTAAGCAGGCTTCCTAAAGAATGTATAGAATACGTTAATATGTATAGAGAGTTGGGAGAATCAGAGATTTGACCAAACCGGGTAGACAGGAACTAGATAGGAGCAGGAAAGTAATCATTGTTACTATCAGGAAGAGGCCTGGACCAGGTTGGAGAACTTGGGTAAGTCAAGATATTATAAGGCCTGAACTAGGATGGTAGATAAGGAGAATAGGAGATAGTGGAGATGGTCGAGATTCTGTAGGATTATTTTGTTGTAGAGGTTGAAGAATCAAATTGATTCTCTAAAATGAGCCCCAGTTTTTTGGCTTAACTAGTTGTTACTGGAAACCAGATATCAAATATATCCTTCTCACTCCATGGAAGGGTATTCTTTAGTACCCAGATTAGGGCTGGAATATGAAAATTAGATATTTTTCATTAAATATTTTTTACTCTGTTATCTTTCTACAATGGAATGCTTAAAATAAAACATCATCTAGGACTTCCCTGCTTTTAGATGCAATGCATTTTCCAAAGTCAATCTCTCTTGCTAGGAGACAAACAGTGACTGTGCATACTTTTTCCTTAGCATGTTCAAGTGTTGGCAAACCATCAAATGAATGGGTTATAGTAGGTAGTCCAGATCTTTTATTAGACAGTGTTGGATGAGCACAGATGTGAAAATTGGACTACCTGTACTTATATACTTTTTCAGAATTAGACTCCTAAATATTTAAAAATTGCTTGAGTTTTTCCTGTTCTTGGAATTTTAATCTGTAGTTTGGCAAACAATAGGTCAATTATGGAAAAAGCTTTAGTTGTTGATTCTTGTAACTGGCTTTCTACCTTAAGATATTTTAATCATAAGCAACCCATAATTGCATTTTTACTAAGATACGCTGTAATGGGTACAGAATGCCTCATAATAGATGTGCTCTTGTAAATTGAAATATAAGTAAATTGTAGCAAATTAAATATTTGACATGTTCTAGAGAAGCTAACTTCGGGAAGCCTGTTGTGAATCCTTTTATAAAACAAATGACCATTTTATAATTTACCTAATCTGTACCTTAACTCTGGGATTTGGGTTTTCTTAAAGCGGGTATCATTGTAATACCTTACAAAATAATATATATGACATTTGTATAGCAGCATACAACTTATAGGACAGTTTCATTTGTCTTATCTCATTTACTAATTTAAAAATACTCTTGACAGTAATTTGCTTTAATTTTATATATTTAGCAGAAAGCCAGTATGTCTGAGTTTTTTACATATAAAAGTGATATAGCCATGTTATAGAAACTTGAGAAATGGAAGAGAGGACATCATACCACCCTAATGTAGTAGCTATTATAATATTTCCTTCTATAAGTATATTTTTTACAAGTTTTAAAGATAGTACACATAAAGTTTTAATTGTATTTTTTTTTTTAAGATTTTTATTGGGGAATTGGGGGAGGGGAACAGACTTTTGTTCTTCATTCTAGTTGTGGAGGATGTCGTGTTACTGGCCCATGTTAGTGTTATCATTGCTCTCTTCCTGGATGAGGCAGTCGCTCACCGGCCATTGGATGGCTGCTCACGGCGGCTCTTGGCAGCTCATGCTGGCTGCCGGCCACTCACGCTGACTGCCAGCCACTCACAGTAGCTCACAGCAGCCCACTGCAGCAGGGGCTGCAGCCTACACCATTGCCAATGACTCACGGCAGCCCAGCTCCAGGTTGAGCTGTTTACCATCTTAGCTGTAGAGGGTGCAGCGTCACTGGCCCTCATGTGGGATCCGAACTTGGGCCCTGCTGCTCAGAGCTGGCTCTTAACAAATGCACCACTCGGCCGGTCCTTAATTGTATTCATAAACTAAGTACATAAGGTTGATTGCCTTTAATTATTAAGAAATCTATTATATTATGAAATGTTGACATAACTCATTGTTGATTTTTTTTTTTCAGTAACTCTGGGTGGATTTTAACTACAACTCTTGTCCTCTCGGTGATGGTATTGCTGTGGATTTGTTGTGCAACTGTTGCTACAGCTGTGGAGCAGTATGTTCCTTCTGAGGTACGTTTAATTCAAACACAGGCCATTTGAAGACAGCCATATGATTTACCATTTGAAATGCGTTATTTGTTTAACTAGAAAAACAAGGCCTCTACTAATAGAATGAGAAAAGATTTGGTGGTTTTAATCACACATACGGGGTTGGCACACATAAAATTACAGGTTTTTTTTTTTTAGCTGAGCCATCCTGCTACCTGTTGGCAGCTCAGCGGCTGCTCAGCTCGGGCTGGACTCGAACAGCTGTTGCTCAGAGCTCAAACTCTTGAGCGAGCTCTTAACCAACTGAGCCACTCGGCCAGCCCCAAATTACAGGTTTGCAGCATAAGAATCACTATTGCCAGTTTTCTGTAATGCTAACTACCATCGTTATATATGTGTTGACTAGTTTGAGTAAAGTGTCCCTTTTTTCCTGGTTCTTTGACACTGAAAGAACCTGTTGATACCAGTTTCTAAGGTGATACTTAAGAAAGAAACTTTTAGAACCACTGAATTTTTAAATTAATTTTCACAAATGTTCAAGAGTAATTGCTGCTTTAGAAGCAGCAAGACTAGAGTGTTTGATTTTGAGTTAACATGTTCTGGTATCTAACTCAGAGAGAGAAAACTATCATGACTTCCTTGGTAGTTAAAATTTAACTGGCCCAAGAAACATAATTGTTAAAGGAGTTTTTTGTTTTGGGAAAAGTCTATAATTTGATGATTCAATTTAGCTTTCAAGGAAAGAAAGTTATTTACATAACTAAATATAGGATGATAATGTCTGTTGACATCAAATCCAGCTGAAATAAACTTTATTTCTCTTGTGCCTCCAAAGTACAATTGAAAAAGAGAGAAAAGAAGAAAGAAGGGAAATTAAAATAGAATCTAATAATAAGTAGTTGGCATGTGCTTAGCATGGTTCTTGAACCAATCTTAATAAACTATAAAGATATGTTTCAATATAAGATTTACACATAAATAATTAAGATCATATAAATATATATTTTTTAAGATGATATATGATATAGGCAGCTAGGAACTGGGACAGGATAGTGTTGACAACTAACATTTATATAGTTCTTTAAAATTTACAAAGTGTTTTCTTATATTTTACAAGTCCAGCAGTACTCTACAGCAGGTTTTATTATCCATTTTATAGATGAGTAAACAGGTTTACAAAGTCAAGTTAACCTTCCTGAGATTGCACAGCAGAGAAAGTATTGAGGCTACAATTAAGCTCTTTTGACTTATAACTCCTGTCTATCATCTTTCCTATGGCTGATAAGGTGTTTAAGTGGCACAGATAATAAGTGTATAAAATGTTAAGGAAAGCAGAGACTATGTGCTGGGATTGTCAGTGAAGGCTTTTTGATAATGTGGCTCGTAACCTGAATTTTGAGGAATGGGTGGTAAGGTTTGGATTAGCAGAGAGGGGATGGTGGACAATTTTCCCAGGTACAGACAAGAATAAGCTAACTATCCGGGAAGTACTATAAGGAACTGACTTGATTAAAAGAACTTAAATTAGGAAATGAAACCAAATGGATAAAGTTGGACAGGATTGGGAATTGTGGAAGTGTTAGAGAATGCATAAATTTCTGTAGAACTCAACTGCTTATGATATGAATGTACTGATGACATCCTCTTGCTGCATTACCTACTTGTGTCCTTGTTTAGTTCTGATGTCCATATTTTAGTCATTTTATTGTTCTGATAAAATGAAATTACCCATCTTACATAGGATTGCCTTTACCTATTACTTCCTTTTGAGTTACCCCATGCGCTCTAAATCCTATGGCAGGAAAGCTAGAAACCTGTAAGTCTTTGTTGACCTCCCCACCCTGTGGCACTTTATTCTTTATTTTGTGTTTTATTAGCCCAATTCCTTCTCCATATCCCTAGGATGCATCTTCTAAAAAAAACAAACAAAAAAAAACACATAGAGAATGGTCTAGTTATTGCCAGGAAAGCCTCAGGTGCAATTTACCTTGATAAATCTACCACAGCCTGGATTCTGGTTCCCAGACCTACTAACTAATGTTGAGCACTTTCTACTAGGCACTGTTGTCCATGTTTTATATGAATTAGCTCATTTCATTCTTTCACTAATTCTGTGAGATGGCTGCTATTATTATCCCCCTTTTCCAGATACGATAACTGCAAGCGAGACTATATAATTGTCCCAGTGTCACATACCAGTAAGTGGTCGATCCAGAGCTTGAACCCAGGTAATGTGATTCCAGAGCCAATACCCTTAAGTTTCTTTAGTTGTCCTTGAATCAGAATAGGAGAGTTGATAATGCGATTCATATCAGGAGTTGGTGTCCTGTGTGCCCTCTAACGCTAGGGAGATAAACACCGCTGAGAACACATGGTTCATGTTTTTGTTCCAGGATGCTCAAACTTGCTCTTATTCAAATAGTTCTTAGATGGACATTTCATAGTTTTTCCTCTCTTCACCTTCTTATTTGACTAATGGAAGTGACCTCCTCTTCTGGTATTGTTTAGACATATAGCAATGCCTGTCATTGTGGTTTGGTCACATCTTATAGATCTGGGGATCTTTCCCTCCCTTTCAGATGACTCTTGATCGTTTCCTTTTAGATGTTGTCTTTGTTGTGATAAGTTTTTATTGTATAGCTTTAATTCTGTGAGAAATTTTCTCCCCCCTTTTCCAAGTTCTTTGAGGCACACCTCACTTTTCCCACTTATGCCTCCTAAGACCCTTGTGACCATAAAGCCTAAGGCATTTAGACCCACGGGAAGACCTGTTGATGGCTGTTACATCCTCTCCAACTATCTGCCTTATGAATGTTACTTTCTTGCCCCTCTTTGAACTCTCCTTCCAATCCTTAACAATTAAATTATGGCTGCACCCTTAAAGGGCCTAGACTTTTTTAAGGAGATATATTTTCTAGAAAAATGTGTGGAAAACAGCCATTTAGATTCACTGCTTTTAGGCTTTACTTTGTATGTGAAACCACACTTTGGCTAAGTAGTAATGTTGTTTCAACTATATTTTTACTATATATTTTTACTGTGTACTTAGTGTGGAAATTTGTGAAGTACATATAAAGAAGCAGAAAAAAAAATCCTTTCATCCAGAAATATTGTTGTGTTGCCATTTTAATGCATGTCTTTCAGTATAAACAATTTTTAATACACATTGTTTTTGTTTAAAAATATTGCAGTGTAAATATTCCTTCCCTGGTATTTTCCCCTCTATTTACTATAAAAATAACTGAGAACTTAGCATATTCTGATTTTTTTTTTTTGGCCAAAAGCCACCTATTTTATACTTTACTTTCAGAAAGCCTTTTCATTGATTTTATTATTGGAACATAAGTTATTGCTGACCCCTCTCCATAGTAACATGATACTCCATTTTAAGTCCTACGAGAATAATTCATCTATCACCAATGTTATTTATATTGTGTTATGTTACTTACATATATGATTCTGTATGTTTGTAGGAAATCATAAGCCTACTGAGAGAATGTGTGTCTCTTCAGTACAGACTTGGTTCTTGGAGCTTAAACATGAAATATAAAAAGTTTCCTTTTCAGTCACTACAAACAAAGCTTAAAATGGTGGTAATAAAGGTCAGGAATGTGGTCTTAGAAATGTATTATATAAGCAGCTTTATTTTTCTTATTTAGGAAAGCTCTGAAATAATTTGTCTTCAGCCTGCTTTGCATGTAATTAGGTATTTATCATATATCATTTATTTGTAGTGGCCAGTAAGAGTTAGCAAAGAATTTCGTTTCCTTGGTTGATCTTAAAGCAGTGTCATTTTTGTTGACTTGATGTATAAAGATTCTGATCCTCTTTTCTTTTTTCCTCTGTTTCACACTTATGATGTCATTTTTGAATTAATGGGGTGGTGCGTTTTTTCTTTGTTGAGCTACCTGTTTAAGATAATAAAGAGTTGTCATTCATAGCGGTCCTTGACAGGCAGGTGAAACTTGGCATACCGGAATGAGGTTCAGCAGTATTGGGTATTCCTTCCTAGAAATCAGGCAGCCTCAGAAATTTGCTGTAGCAACAGATGTTAGTATAGAATATAGATGCTGCCTCATTGTTATCTATGTGGGTTTCCTTTTTCTTATTTGTCAAGACCGTGATCATCTGATTTCATGTGGTCAGTTAAGAGAGCTTTAAAAGACTCCTAAAAACATTGATGTTAGTAAATCACACTCGTTAATGGGTAACTTACTATGTGCCAGGCCCTGTTCAAGGGATTAAAGATACAGTGAAGAATTAGATCAAGATGGAACAAAGTTAAATGTTAAAGGTTTCTAAGACCCAGGAAGTAGGGTGAAACATGTCTTAAAGTATAATAAACATTATTTTCTTTGTCTAAAAAACAAGACCAAGAACCTTGCCTTGTAGAAGCTTTAAGTCTTATAAAAGAGTCAATCAGTAAACAATGTAAGTGCCACAGCTTTTTAATCCAAATTCTGTTAAGAAACTGAGTTTTAGAAAAGATCTAAGTAACTTATCCAAGACTGTGTAACTGGTTATTGGCAGAGCCAGGCCTAAAGCCCAAATATGTATCTACTAATTGAATTTTTTTTTCTAACTTTTAGAAGTAGTATATGTAACAAATTAAATTTTCCTCTTCAGATAAACCAGTCAGTAGTTTTTTTTAAATTTCCAAAAATTTTTAATTTTATCTTCTATTTTTTGTTTTATCAACTTTAAACATTATCTAATATCTTCCTACTGAAGCATGAGGAAGTTAGTTCCTTTACATTTTCTCCTACCTCACCTCCATCTCTTCACTTTCTTACGTTTTGATGTTGGAAATCATTCAAACAGTTCCTGGTTGCTGTTTCAAGGTCTTTAAATGTTGCTAGGTAGAGTTGTGAAAGTTTTCCTTTCACAGTTACTCAGAATAAATTATCACATGTTAATTCTGGGTTTTAAGGAGGCCACACTATATCAGATCTATGTCCAATCCACCAACTGCTGACTTTTGTCTGAAAGATATTCTCTTACTGGAATAGTATAACGTACTGGGCCATCTTGTTGCAGGGTCATTGCCTTGAAAGCATAGGCAGCAGACCATATCTAAAGCATGTTTAAGTAAGCGACCATCACAACAGTCACTTTTAGAACATTTTTATCACCCCAAAAGAAAACTCACCATCATTCATAGTCACTCCCCATTTCTTCTTAAGCACCACAACCACCACTCCTAGCCATAGACAACCACTGCGTGGTCCCTTGTGTCTGGCTTCTTTCACTTAGCATAATGTTTTCAAGGTTCATCCGTGTTATAGCATGTATCAAAATTGATAGGTACTGGGGCTGGCCAAGTGGCTCAGTTGGTTAAGAGCACGAGCTCTGAGCAACAGGGTCGCCAGTTCAATTCCCACATGGGCCAGTGAGCTGTGCCTGAGCTGAACTGTCGTTGAGCTGCCGAAGGGCGGCTGGATGGCTCAGTGGTTAGAGTGTGCGCTCTTAGCAACAAGGTTTCTGGTTGGACTCCCGCATGGGATGGTGGGCTATGTCCACCCACAACTAAGATTGAAGTTGAGCTGAGCAGCTGCAAGCTGCTCTCAGGTGGCCGATGGCGACTGGTCTTGGAGCTGAGCGTCCTCCACAATTAAGATTGAAGAACAACAACTTGGCTAGTCCCTTCCCCAGTTTCCCAACACTGTTCCCCTTCCCCAATTTCCCAACAAAATCTTAAAAAACAAAAAAAAAGTTGATAGGTATTTAAACTCTTGAAGGTACTCTTCATTCAGCATCTTTTAAATTGCACATTTCCAACATGAAGTACTTTTATGTGGTTCTTGCTGTATAACCTAGTCACTGGCCCTATCAGTAACATCAGAACTTCAGTTTTTTTGTTTTTTGTTTGGTTTTTTTTTTAAAGATTTTTATTGGGGAATTGGGGGAAGGGGAACAGACAAGCTGCTGTCTTTTTGTTCTTCAGTCTAGTTGTGGAGGACGTTGCTTCACCTGCCCAATTTGGCACCATTATTGCACTCTTCCTGGGCGAGGCAGATCAGTCGCCGGCTTCTGGATGGCCGCTCACCGGCTTCTGGATGGCCGCTCACCGCGGCTTGAGGGCCTCTCACGCTGGCTGCTGGCTACATGTGGTAGCCCATGGCAACCCACTGCAGCAGGGGCTACAGCCTACCGGTCGCTGGTGACTCATGGCAGCCCGGCTCCAGGTTGAGCTGTTGTTCAGCATCTTAACTGTAGAGGGCAGCATCACTGGCCCTCATATGTGGGATCCTAACCGGGACCCTCTGGCGTCCCAAGCCAGTTAACGCGCCACTCAGCCGGCCCCCAGAACTTCAGCTTTTAAGTCACTATTCAGAGATTTGTTGCCAAGGGAGTGAGTTAACAAAATCTACCCCATTCCTTAGTAAAAACTTTTTACTTCATTTTTTTACCTTTAGGAGATAGACCTACATCTAAATAGACTACTTTCAAAAGACATTAGACATTACCATTATACTCCAGTGAATTTTATGACATTTTATGAATTTTATGACATGGCAATGAATCTGTTTTATGCTTTCATTGATTTGTTTTACTGTTTTGGATATGATAGTAATAATTAGAGGAGCTTTTATATGTTTATGAAGATCTTTCTATCAGTGTTAAAATATTTCATGTATATTCTTTGTTTTACTCATAGCCTTTTAAAATAGAACATCATAAAATAGCACAGATTTTCCAAATGTATTAAGTTAGAACATTTAGGAGGAGAGAAACTTAATCAAATCATTTGAAAACTTGGTTGGAGAGTTAAGAGCTTAAAGGAATTAATCGCTTAAGGCATCAAACATCTAGAATCAGTGCTCTTGGTGTGGCCACACTAACTTCATTTAAATTGGAGCAATTTTTTCTTGATACTCAGTTGTTATACTTCTAAATATTTTAAGTTGGGACATGTAGAAAAAATTGTTTTGACCATCCCTGGCAACTGAATCTCATATCTGTAACACTTTGAGTAAAAGCATTCTTCATTCTTAAGGATGTCTATAAAAAAAATTTTTTTACCAAAAAAAAAAATTATTTGAAGGCTTACTTAGGTTAATTATCCAAATTGCTACTGCATATTGATTTTATTTTGCAGAAGCTGAGTATCTATGGTGACTTGGAATTTGTGAACGAGCAAAAGCTAAACAGATACCCAGCTTCTTCTCTTGTGGTGGTTAGATCTCAAGCTGAAGATTATGAAGAAGCAGGACCGCTACCGACAAAAGTGAATCTTGCCCATTCAGAAATTTAAGCTTGCTTTTTTTTTTTTTTAAAGAAAAGTGTCATAGACATCTAAATTTCCATTCCTCATAGAGCTTTTAAAAATGGTTTCATTGGTTATAGGGCTTAACAATCACTATAAATTGCAAATAAAGTTACCCAAATCTGTAAAGACTGTATTTGCTGTAACTTTCCCTGTAACTTTTTCCCAGTAATTTAAGAGATGGATATTTGGAATTGTATTTTTATTTTAATATCTGTAGCTACTTCTTTAATTATTATTTGCATTGTTTTTGTTTGTTTTCTTTCTTAGCCAAATTCTATGAGCTGATCATTGTTTTTCCCCACCTCTCACCATGATGCCATCAATCACCTTAGTTCATAAGCTGAATGCTCAGTAGAATATGATGCTTCTGCTCAGAAATAGCCCACAACCTGTAATTTGAAATTTAGCAGAAAATGCCCTTGGATGATACTACATTTTCAGTTGTATTGAACTGAAATTATTAAAATTTTATTTGGATAATTATGTGCTGAAATTTGAGTTTAATAGACTCCTGATTTTCCAGATCTTCCCTCTCACCCCTACTCAACGCAGACAAAAATTATGAAATGTTCTGTTTCTATCTATTGCTGTATAATATGATGATCAGGGAACAAATTGAAGCAAAAATGATTCTCTCAGAAGTGCATTTTATGTTATTTGCACAGCCTATAGACTTTTGTTGGATGAGTCTTTCCAAAGAACTTTTTTCTCTGTTTGAAAGCATATCAAGTATAAGTTTAAAGATATTTTCAGAGGAAACTTCATTTTGACAGTAAGAATTAGACTCTTGTGATGCAGAATTAAGTATAGATTTCACTTGGCAAAAGCTATTATTATCATTCCTTTATAATAACACAGATTTAAAAATAAGAGTGATATCTGGTGATACAGTATACCAGAATCTTAAATTAACATGATTCTGTGTCATTATACCATGAAATGTTAAATAACTTTGCAAACCAATACCTTCCTTATGAGCAGGGGTGTTGCTGAAAACTGCAGTAGTACTTGTTGACTAAAGAGTGAGTCACACATGTACCTTACAGCCTAGTCATCAGCTTTCTCTGAATCAAAAAAATACACTTACCAGATAAGACCTTGGTCACAAAATACAGGTTTCAGGTTTTAAAATAGTTTGTCTAGATTCAGAAGATAAAGACTTACCAAGTATGAACACAACCAATTAGGGAAGAGAGGAGGAATTACTAAGTAGACATCAAGCAGTCATTGTCTCTTATTTTTTGTGAGAGAACAGTTGCAAAACATGAGGAATGGATTGGAGTTCACCTTTAAAATAAAGCCCAATTGCCTTATTCCCTATCCATGGTACATACTTACGTTCCTTAATGTCAGGCACGGGTTTAACTGAAGCAAACTGAGGGGGAAATAAAAAATGTGCAGATTTATAGGAGTCAGCCCACTGTTAGGAAGGGCCTCCCCTATAAAAACAAATGGAATATCTAGATAAGAAGGAGCAACTGTACAGTTGTCCTATATTCTCTCACCGTCCCTTGGTTTTGCTTCTCTTTGCTTCCCAAATCAAGTTACCTCTGAGAATACTGATTCAAGTACAGATAATCTTACCATTCTTGTTTATGAGACAATTCCTGTATGTGGAAATACCCAATCATTCCTAGTATTTAATAGACACTCAGACACTTGTGTCCTGCCTCCATTTTATTTTAGCATGATTAAACGAGACTGACATTAAAAAAAAAAAAGTTCTACCTTTAAAAAAGAAAAAATTATACTCTCCTAAAATATATGTGTGTTTGTATACACGCACGCACACACACACATGCACCCCCCCCCATAAAAAGGGTTTGACTTGAAAATTCTCACAAAGGCAACCCTAGGCCCCTTTTCCTAAAGTAAGTTTAGCCCTTCTTTGATGGTTCCAGCTTCCTTTGTTTCTATGAGACAGGGATCACCTTTCCTACTAAACAAAAAGCATCTTCGAGAAGCTTGTCTTGGTCCTAGGAAAATTCTCAAGCCCCTTGGTCTCTTGGTTCAAACCTCACAGATTCCTAAGGTCTTTCTTGGTTCAGGTGCCTAGCCTAAGAGACATACTGATTTGGGCAATTACGAATAGTTACCATAATGATCTAGGCCCAAGATTACCAGTCTTTCACATGGATACCTTTTATTTATGATAGGTTTTTTTTGTTTGTTTAGTGTTGTTTTGTTTTTTTTGTAAATCAAAAATTGCCAGAATGTCTGCTCCATCAGTCTTGTCTCAGAAGTTCCTGTGATGCATCATTAGCCCAGCTGATGATCAGCATGTAAAACCCAGTGTTTTTTCTCAGCTGATATTCTAACCAAAAGCAAAAGACTTCATCCCTGTTGTTCGTCTGGCTTTATCATAGATAAATGTGCCATTTCTATTATAATTTTTGCGGGCTCTTAAGTACCTTAGGACCACATATTGGGAATCATTGATCCAGAGGTTGATTCTCAACTGAGTCCCCACCACTGCCACACCATGGCAGTGATTTTGTCCAGATATCCTATTATAGATCTATAGTTTAACCATTCAACAACCACTTGAGAGCCTGAGTGCCAGGCCCTATGCTAGGTGATAGGACTGCAACAACAAACAAGGCCCAGTACCTGACTCTAGTTGCTCAAAGTCTAAAAGGAGACGTTATTATTGTGATAATTATTGTAAGCAGATGAGCATAGAGTACTATGGAAGTATATAGGAGGCCCCTAACTTCTGGGAGTAAGTGTAAACCTGGAGGAAAAGGGAAATCCAAATAAAATACAGGGAGTAGTATTCCAGGCAATGGGGGCAACATATTCAAAGACCTAGAGACAAGAGGGTGGGGAACTACAAATTGTTTAGCAGGCTGAGACAGAGCATACAAAAGCATAGCAATATAGATGGGACCAGATAATAAAGGACCTTATTAAACTTGGACTTGATCCTGAGCATAATGGAAAGCCATAGAAAGGTCTTAAGCAAGAGAGTTACAGTGTTTTAGAACGACTCTCAACAACAATGTGGAGATAGACCAGAAGGGCAAGTCCACAGGCCATCGATACATTAGCTCTATGGCAACCGCTGGGACTATTAAATTATGTACTTACCCAGCCACACTGAAATGGGAAATTCCTTTCCCTTCCCAGAGTTCTCTTTTTTTAAATGCCCAGTATTCCTATTTCCTTTCATACTACTTCACGTATATTTTTGAACTCCTCTATAAGGCTCTCTGTATCACTATATTTTGTTTGGATGGTAAGCATAGGACTGGCCACTGAGACCTGGTCACAATCTGACTGTTGCCAAGCAAACTGGGAAGGCTGTTCCATGGATCCCAAGCTTCTTACCAGACTTCATGTTGGGCTAAATGTTTAAACTATAACGCGATGTCAACTTACTGTCCTAAAACTCGAGGTTTGCCAACCCAACCTCTCGAACTCGGTGTGCTGTCGAGCCCCTCCCACCGGGTGTCCAGTCGCTAAACATTTCATGTTTGGATTTGAGTATCGTCAGAATGAGTTACCTTATTTGCCTTTCCTTGACCATTTATTCTGGACTAGAGTCGGGATGGAGGTATGTACAGTGATAGAGATAAAAGATCGAGATAGTGGGAAATGCAGCCTTCTTTGGGAAGCTAGATCATAAAATTAGTATGGATTTTCCAACTCCTTCAAGTAATTAAATTCTAAAGCACAGTTTATATACCTTTTCTGAAATTTGTAATTGTTGAAGTTGGCGTCATATATTTCACTATTAAGTGTTCTATTCCTGTGATGTTAATGACTTATTTGCTTAAAGCAGGTGTTCTTAACTGTTTTTATGCCATGGACCTTTTTTTTTTGGCAATTTGGTGAAGCCTATGGACCGGACTCTTCTCAGAATAATGTTCTCAAATGCATAAAACTACATGTGAAGTATTGTAAAGGAAACAAATATACTAAAATACAGTTACTAAAATACTTTCAAATTTTTGTGATATATATGTGTTTCTTTATTAACATAAAATAACAAGATCTAGTTCTGGTTCTAAAACTAATGTAATTTCAAAGTAATTTCAAATTATTATTTTGAAATATATGCAACAACTGTAATATATTTAAATACGACTTCTATTGGTGATAAAGTCACAGATACCGCTAATACAATTGTCAATTATTGCCTATGTTCATAGTTGAAGGAAATGCTATATTTCAGTTAGAAATTAGTGAAAATAAAGATTTAATTTTTTTCCCAGCCAAGTTTACTGAACCCTTGATTTAGAGGTTGTCTGATTTTACTTTGTCATTTTTAAGAGTAAAATATTTTTGTTCAATTCTAAATTATTTGAGCTTATTTTACTGCCTCTTGTGTGTTTTTTATACTTGATTTTTTTCCGCAACATTGAAACAGCCGTAATTGAAGGCTTGGGTAGAAAGAAATCACCAAGTGATTATAAATGAAAGGTTTCAACGAAAGCTCTTGATAATGTTACCTCAAGATATATCATCATGCAGTCATTATTGGAGCCCCACCCGTGTCTGTTAATTTCACAATGCTTAAGTATGTCAACTTCATACAATTTGGATCATTGGCATTAAATAATATAGTGCTATCTTGTAAAAAGCGTCTACTTAGATATTTCATGATGGAGTTTGTCTGTTGATTCCCTATGACTTTTGCAAAGCCCGTTATAGCACCGTCACTTTCGCTTTAAATGGGTCCTTGTAACATTCCTCTAGGAGAGCAGGATGGGGTTTAACATCTTCATTTTATTTTATTTTTATTTTTTAATTTTTTAAATTAAAATTTATTGGAGTTGAGGAAGCAGAGAGGAGAGGCGGCCAGTCAGAGCTCTCAAGAGTTGTGCAAGGCATAGAGGAGGAGTGATAAATGCTGAGGCAGGGACAGTGCCTGACCCCTAGGCAGGTCTGGAAGCAGATCTTTCAGATCCCTGGGTCAATCGAATTGTGGTGCCCACTTAACATTCTCCAACCCAGAGATGGGCCCTGGACTAGAAGCAGTCCTGGCCCTCAAGCAGATCTCTCTGTGGTTGTAACCAGACCAAGGCATCCAGAAACAATATCCCACCCTCAAAGGGTGCAGAACACTGGTCACATGGGCATCACTTCATCCTCACCACCGCTCCCTGAGTTAAATATTCTTATCCCCATTCTTTTTTTTTTTTTTTAATTGGGGAATTGGGGGATGGGAACAGACAAGTTGCTGTCGTTTTGTTCTTCAGTCTGGTTGTGGAGGACGTTGCTTCACTGGCCCAAGTTGGCACCATCATTGTGCTCTTCCTGGGCGAGGCAGATCAGTTGCCGGCTCTGGACGGCCGCTCACTGCGGCTGCTCACTGCGGCTGCTGGCCGCTCACGCTGGCTGCTGGCTACACACAGTAGCCCATGGCAACCAACTGCAGCAGGGGCTGCAGCCCACGCCTTCGCAAGCGACTCACGACAGCCCAGCTCCAGGTTGAGCTGCCGTTCAGCATCTCAGCTGTAGAGGGCAGTGTCACTGGCCCTCATATGTGGGATCCAAACCGGGGCCCTCTGGCGTCCCAAGCCAGCTCTTAACCATCGTGCCACTCGGCCGGCCCTCTTATCCCCATTGTTTAGATGAGGAAACTGAGACTTAGAGAGGCTGCGAGTGGCCACTTAAATTAGGTGTTGATTTGACAGGATGAAAACCCAGGTCTGTCTGCCTTAAGCTGGGGTTTGCTGATCTCATGTCCTGAGGGTCTCCCCTAGCCACAGCCAGTCTAAGATGGAGCCCCAGATCATATGAAATGTAGGAAAAGGTAAACCGACGGGAGCAAGGAGAGTCAAAAAAGGCTTCATGAAGTGAGACTTTCACCTGGTTCTGGACAAGAAAGATGGCTTTAGAAAGGTAGAAGGAGCCAGCCGAAGTTACTGTAAGCAAGTGACAGCTATAGACTGGCAGAGAGATATATATCCCCTGTAACATGATTCAAATTCACCATAAAGAAATCCATACATCAATAAGAAAAAAAAAACACCCATAGAAAAATGGGAAAGATGAAAAAGCAATTGACCAGGGAGGAAATCCATACACAGGAAAGCCTTGGATTGCGAGTAACTTGGTTTGCGAGTGTTCCGCAAGACGAGCAAGCATTTCCAATACATTTTAATGTGGTAAACGAGCAATGGCTTGCAATACGACTAGTTTGTTTCTGGAACAAATTATGCTCACAAACCAAGGTATTACTGTATTTTGAAGGGGCAGCCTAACAGCACGGGGAAAGGCAGGGATTTTCAAATTGTACATTCAGCTCTCCTGGGGATCTTGTTAAGATGCAGGTTCTGGTTTGCTAGGTGCGGGGTGAGACCCACCTCTAACCAGGTCCCAGCTGATGCAGATGCCGCTGCTCTGAGGACCACACTTTTGAGTAGAGAGGGTGGGGGTAACGGTAAGGGTGTGAACCTTTCACCGAACCAGGCACATGTCCTGGCTCTGCCACTTTTCAACTGCGAACCTTGGGCAAGTAACTTCATATCTCCGTGCCTCCGTTTCCTCATATGTAAAATGGAGATGATAATAGTTCCCATTTCCTGGGGCTGGGAGGACTAAAGGAGTTAATACAGTGCAAAGCATGTAGTACAGCATGTGGCAAAGGTAGTGATTGGTGGTAGCAGTAGGAATTACTAGAGAAATGCAAATTAGCCACACTAGGATACCATTTCATACCTACCAGACTGGCAGGTGTCAGAAAGTCGGACAATTTCAAGGCTGGGAGACAGACGGGCTCACACACTGCTAATGGGAGTGTAAATTGATACAGTCACTTGGAAGAGCAGTTTGGCAATATCTGATAAAGTTGAGGTGCCCCTATAGTGTGATTCTAAGGGTGTGTTTGTGTGTGTGTGTGTGTGTAGAGAGAGAGCTGCAGTGTGTAAAAACCAATCCTTGGAAGCATACACAGCATATTCAGGAAACTGGTTAATTCTGGGGAGGCAGGAAAAGGAATACAATTGGGGGGAAAAAAGATGCCTTCAATTTTGCTGTAGTTAACAAAAAAAAGTTTGAAGCAAGAAAACTAAATTTTAACATTTATTACCTCTGGATGGTGGATACATAATTATTTGTTAAATTATTCTTCCTACGTCCCTGTATTTCTGTTAAGGTTTTGAAGCTTTTTTCCCGGGGGAGGGAAGGGGGGAAAATGGGAGAAGTTAAAGCCGGTTGTGGGCGTGGGGATGGTGGTGCTGGCGTGGTATTGGGTGTTGGGTGGAAGGGACAGAGAGGTCAATCTACTGGGATGCTGCCTTTCTTCAGGAATGAGTGCAAAAGAAATGTAGAGACGTAGATGAGAAAGCTGAAGCTCAGAGAGGTTAAATGACCTTTCGGAGTTACACAGCTTGCAGTGGGACCATTTGGACCATCAGCTCCCAAGTTCTAGCTCTTGCTCAGCGCTGACCCAGGTGTGGGTTAAGCAGGCCTAAGCCAAGGCCCAGGGAGCCCGGGGTGGAGGTGGAGGTTGTACAAAGCAGTCCAAGTCCGTCCTTCTCTGAGGTATCACCTGGCTGTGACATCAGGAAGTTCAGGCACTGAGGCACCAGGGCCTCTCCTCCATCCTGCCAGATCCCCTGCTGCCCTTCACTCAAGGGTTCTCAGTGACAGCCTAAACCCTGGAGAGGTGCAGTGCTTCCAGCACAGTCGGACGTGGCTATACCTGGACTGGACCAGGAGTCCAGAGGAAGGGACATTTCACATCCCTGAGGAATCGTTTCATAAAAGAAACCCTTAAGAATCACAGAACAAGGAAGGCCAGAGATTGAAGGGCATGAGTTGGTCCAGAAATGGCAAATGGTCATCCTGTATGATACCACTCTCCACTTTTACATCCATGGCAGACATCACTAGTCAATTACAAAACCCTGAGTCTTGTCCTCAGAGTTCTTCTGAATTCCCGGTTCCAGACAACCTCTACAATCAATTGCGGCTGGAATGCAAGATGAAATCTAGTTAGCATTTTTAGCAGAATACCTGGATGCCCTGTCCATACCCCTCATCCCTTTTCATTTCAGGGCACATCAGTCTGGCATGCAACAGCCAACACTGGCATCTCTGCCTAAGATAGACCAGTGGTACCGGGAATTAACGCCCTCTGGCAGTTCTCAGCCAATGACTGGCAAGAGCTGGCAAATAAATACCCCAGTTCCCTTACCCTCGGGAACTGATTATGGGGATCCCCAAACTAAGACACCACCTTCATCTAGTCTAATCCTTCCGTTTTCTGGAGGAGGGAACTGAGGCTCAGAGAAGGGGAATGGTTTGCCCAAGCCAGAGCCAGTGGCAGGGCCTTCATGTAGACCCGGTTCTCCTGACCTAGGACTTAGCCCTTCCCAGTGCTGCTGCCCCTGAGGGCTGCCTCTGCCTATCCCTCCCTCCCTGCCCCCAACTCAGCAGTTTATATCCCAACGAAAAAGAAAAGGCCTGTCACAGGCTAGACAACCCAGTAGCATCAGAGGCACATACATATTCTTTCAATCTAGATTACCTATTTGGTTGAACAGAACTTCAATGAGAAAATGACCCCTGCTTTTTAGCCACTGGAATGTTAATTCTGGGCATTTCTGCCTGGATCTTCATGCAGATGGGGAGCCTGAGATCCTCAGGTCTCATCATTGTTGTGGGAGAAAAAACACGTCCTGGTAAGCTCCTAGGTTCAAAACTCCTCCTCCCCCGCTACTGTGTGACTTGAGGGCAGTTTCTCACGCTGAACCTCAGGCTCTTTGTCTGTGAAATGGGATAAGAATTCCACCCTGGAGTGTTGCCCTCAGACTGCAGAGCAGGGAAGGGCTGGGCAGGACCAGGGCCCTCCAGCCCTTGCCTCCGCTTGAGAGGCAGCCTCAAGGGGACTGCCCACAGGAAGGGTGCGGCCAGGTAGGGCCTCCTGCCCTACCTCCTCCAGGCTGCCCTGGTGACAAGGCAGGAAACGGTGAGCTGCACTGGCCCCAGTGCCTGGAGGCTGCAGCTGGGAGCTGGGAGCCAGGAGCCTGAGACATGAACAAGATCTTCCCCCAGGTAAGATATGCCCTGACCTGGGGGGAGCCAACCCTGGGGTAAGGAGTGGGGGGTGAAAAAGGGAGACTCTGAGATGGCTCAGCAACCCCTTGCCCTGGAGGCTGCCTCTCAGCTTGTAGGGGGCCCTAAGGATGAATCAGTTACCCAGTTCTGGTGTGAGTGCTGGGAGGGAAATAGGAGGCCAGGGGAGGGAGCCATTGACATGATGGGGGCATCAGGGGAAGCCTCTCTGAGGAGGAGCCACCTGAGCTGGTTTGAAGGATGAATGTTTGCCAAGTGGACAGTGGAAGCAAAGGCATTCCAGGCAGAGGGCACAGTACAGACAAAGGTGTGGAAATGTGAAGCAGGTTTGATGAATTTGGGGTGTTCAGCATGCTGGAGAGTGAGGGGCCACATAAGGCTCTTGGTGACTCTTGTGAAAAACTCTTCGGTGTGGCTCCCTGAGGCTGGACCTCGTCTCACTTAAGCCCACCCCTCACTCTGTTCTCTTGGGCAGGGGGATGTCAATGGCGTTGCTGCTGCTGGAACCAAAGCCCTCCCTGGAGGGGAAGGTAAAGGATGGAGGGCCTGGGGACAGTGCCCTGTGGGCTGCCTCCCCAGGTGGTGTTCTCTGAGGCTGGGCCTTTGCTACAGAGGCACAAAGAGCTCTCGCTAAGGCTCCCACTGTTCCTCAGACCTCTGCCCCTATGTGACGTCATTTACTCCGATTCCTGGCTGGCCGTGATGACAGCCACCTGATGAACAGGGTTGTACCTTCTCTCCAAGCACAAGCATTTGTGTGCTGCCTACCTCAGAGGCACTGTACCAATACAGTGTCCACCTGTAACCTATAGGAGAAAGCTCTGGAGTCTAATACCTGACCTAGTAGGTGACCTGCCCGATTGTCTTTGCCTGTAAAGGATAAAATAGGTGAGATCACACACTTGTTTAGCACCCACTACATGCCACTTACCATAGGACCAGGACAATTCGAAGGAAGGAACACACATTTATTGAGCATCTATTATTAGAGTGCCCTGTCTTGGTCCACATTTGATCTATGAGGAAACACACCCAGAGAGGTAGATACAAATAATAGCCATAAAGGACCAAGGCCCTATTATGTGCCTGGCACTGTATGGTCTCTTTTAATCCTCAGGACAGCTCTGAGAGGGGGGTCTTGTAATGGGGCAATGACAGATGAGGCAGCTGAGGCTAAAAGAGGAGGGGTAGCTCGGCCAAGCTGGGATCCCACACAGCTGGGCGGTGGGAGAGACAAAATTCAAAGCCCTGGTGGCTTTGTTGCTCCACACTGGTGTTTATTTCATGGTAGGCACGACTGGAAAAAATGGCCGCCTTCTCCCACCTGTCCAGAGGGTGAAATGGCACCTAAGTGCAACATCTTCACCTGGCCATGGGCCTCCGTTCTGCCAGTTCTGCCTCGAGTCTCTCCTGTGACCCCAGCTTGCCCACAGCCTGTGCTACACAAATATTTTGAGGAGCGGAGCTTGGCTGACCAGGATGCATTTCTTGCCCAGCCTCATGCCCTCTCCCTGGTTACCGGAGTTTACACTGTGTTCAGCTGACAACAAGGGAGCCGCTGACTAGGCTGTAGGGGTCACCGGTTTTAGATTTATGCTCCATCTCCTATCATCTCCTTTCCCAGTGCACCCCATCCCGGACTCCAGCCACACCAGGACACTTACTGTCCCCCCACACCATCCACAGGCATTTATTCCTCCTACGCTCTCTGCCTGGAATGCCCTCTCCTTGCACCCTCCCCTCACCTGCCTGTAGAAAATCCACCCTCCTTCAAGCACCCATGGCATGGCACCTTGCTCACGGTTCCTTAACTACACTTTTTACCTGGTTCTGTGAGCTGCACAGGACAGGTCTGACTGGTGGGCAAGCAGAGTAGGTAGCTCCACAAATGTGAGTAGATTGGCTGGCAATGACCTGAACTGACTTGAATTGGGGCCCTTCCCTTGTCTCCTGGATCTCTGGATCAGAGTATTCACAAAGCACCTACTATGTACCTGCCTCTGGGCTCGACCCTGGGGACACAGATGCATCAGACCTGCTCTACCTCTTTCTCTGAGATAACTGAGGCCCAGAGGACAGCAGGTGTACCCACATTCTGCTTTTAACCTGTCCATGTCTTGTCTTCTAAGTGCAACTACAAATGTTCAGAGGCCAACCTGAGCTGTGACTGCTTTTGTGTCCTCTACAGAGCAGGACACCTAGTAGGTCCTCAATAAAGCTTTCTTTCATTATTTTACAAGCAAGCAAAATTAAAGGAGCAAAATAAGTTTAAGGAGCAAGATGTCTCCGATTATCATTATTTCCACAGTGCTTAGGGTACAGCTTGACACATAGTAGGTACTCAAACATGAACAATAGCTAAAACCTTTATAGCATTTACTATGTGCCAAGCACCATTCTAATACATTAACTAGCTTAGTCCTTTCAACAACCCTAGGTAGGTAATATAATCTCCATTTTTCACATGAGGAAAACAGTCACAGAGAAGTAAAGTGACTCCTCAGCAGGGCCCAGCTGGGAAGTGGTGGAGCTGGGGTTCCAACCCGCACCCTGGCAGGCTGCAGAACGCATATATAGGTTGACGTCATGGAAAGAGCCCTGGCTTTGGCGGCAAATAGGAACTCACATCCCAGCTCCGCACGAAGTGACTTGGACCTTGTCTTCTCTGAGCCTCAGTGTCCTCAACTATGAAGTTTGTTTTAAAAATAAAGCTGTGAAGGGCCTGCTATAGTTTCTGCCCCATGGTAGGGGCTTGATAAGCAGGTGTTCATCTTTCCCTGTCTCCTGAGGAGACAGCCTCATGGAAGGGCAGGAGGGTGAGGGTGGTGGGACAGGGACCTGGGACCCTCATCCTGACTGCCACTCACCAGCTACTGGACCAGGGACCTACGCTGGGTGGGGGCGGGCCCACAGGCAGAACAGAGAGCATCTTGGGGAGCTTAGGAGCCCCCTCTAGGAATGCCCTTCCTGCCCCAGACTCCCAGGTGGGGAGGGGCCACTTGTAGGAGGGGCGGGTGTGTGTGTGTGTGTGTGGATTCCTGGGCCCCAGGACTGGCTGCTCCATTACTGGTTTCCTGCTCCACACAGCAGGCTGCAGCCCCTGCTGCTGCTCCCGCCAAGGGGCCTGCCTGTCGGCCTTTGTGCTGCTCCTGCTGGCAACTCTTGCGGCCCTGATCGCGCTGGTCACCATCCTTGGACACCCACCACGTGCACCAGGTCAGGGTGGTCAAGAGAGGGTGGGTCAGGCTTGCTGGGAGGGGATGGGGGGCACCGAGAGATGGGGGAAACCCGACCTTGACTGCCTTCTCTATGAAGTGACTTTTGGACAATCCCTTAGGGTGTATACATAGACATGGACACACACACTGACATATACATGTCTCTGAGCCTCCATTTGCACATCTATAATATGAGCTATGGAGAGGACCCAGCTCTGATGACCCACCTTCTCCAGGAAGCCTTCCCTGACCCCAGGCTGGGTTAGAAGCCTGGTCTCGGCCCCCACAGCCCCTGCACTACTTCCCCTGGCCTGGCTGTCCTGGTGGTGCCGTCTATCTGTGTGTCTGCCTCGGGGCGTATCTGATACACCCCTTCGGCCCTGGCATCAGTGGTGAACCCCAACACAGTCCCTGCCCTCACAGAGCTAACATGTTGGAGAGTGACATGAGTATTAATTAATCAAATAAGCACATTAAGGCAGGGTTAATGGGGCTCTGCGATCTGGAACAGAGGCTGAATGAATGATGGAATGAGTGAATAGATGAGTGAGTCAGAGTGGGCACCTTGAGAAGGGAAACAGAGCTGAGGCATGAAGGAAAAGTGGGGATTGGTTAGTGGAGGCAGTGGCAAAAGCATCCCAGGACCAGCAACATCACATGGGGAGTCCCTGGAGTGGGAGAAAACATGAGGAGAAAGAAACTGTGAGGCCAGTGGACACGAAGGGCTAGAGCAGTGGACAGGGCCAGGTGCTTCAAGGCTGCACTTGAAGGAGGTCACCATCCAGAGAGCCATGGGAAGAGGGTTGAGCTGGGGTGGAGTGCCACCAGATCTACCTTTCTGACAGATGGCTCTGTAACCAGGTGGTTGGGGGTGGGGGTTGTAAGGGGACAAGTTAGGGGCGGGGGCAAGCCCTCAGTTCTCTACATGCCTGGGCAGGAACACGGGCACTGAAGGCAGATGTGCACAGGTGAGGAGTTGCGTTCATGTGCCTGTGTGTAGGCACATGTGTGTCCCTGTGGTTATGTGTCTGTGTGTGCATGTGTGTGTCTATGTGATTGTGTGGGCACACCTGTGCATGTGCATATACATTGATGTATGTATGTGTAGGTGTGTGACAATGTGAGTGTCTCTGAGAGTCAGTCCCCCTCACACGAGCCAAGGCAGTTCCAGGAGCTGAGAAATGGTTCACATATGCCCAAACACACAAGCACAAATCCACTCCCATTTCTAACTTGCATGCATGTGTAGACACGTGCATGGCCTGCAGATGCTGAGGCAAGGTTTCATATGCAATTACAGATGGTGCCAAAAAATGTATACACTTTTTAAGAAAGGAAAACTGTATTAAAATTGTAATGCTCAATGTATACTGATAACAAAAGTTGAAAACAAGTCATGTTTGACATGGATCCAGGGTGACCTCCCAGCGCATCTTCCAGTTGCTCTCCTTTACTTCTTTGGGGCAGCCCTGGGGGTGGGTGTTCCCCCTCAGCGGGATGGAAAGGAAGACTCTCAGAAGGACGTATATGTTTAGATGTCTGCCCGCCATTTCTGGACACTGGGAAGGCAGCCCTGGCCTCGGGAAAGAGCCAAGGCCTGGCTTATTAGCTGTGTGGCTGGGCCCGTCGCATCTCTCTGAGCTTTCCTTTACTCATCTATAAAATGGGGCTAATGATGACACTTCACAGAGATTTGGGGAAACAATAGACTAAAATTGTGAAAGTGCTTTGCAGGCCGTAAAGCGATGCCCAGATGTAAGCAATCATGGCATAACAGTCCCCAGCCACCCCCATGACATTGCTTCTAACAACCTAATCTGGCACCAGGAGCTCCACCATTAAAACCATTTCATTGACTGAGCCCTGTCCTCAGGAGCCTCCTATGAGACTGTCAATAAGCTTTCAGTAAAAGAAGGAACCATGACTTACTCTGCACTTTCTATGTTCTGGGGTTATGTAAATTTTCCCAGTGGTCCTATGGGGTGTGTGCTGTAATCCCCATTTTGCAGACAAGAAAACCTGAGGCTCAGAGAGGTCGAGGCATCTGCCCAAGGTCCCTCAGTTGCCATGTGATAGAGCTGAGACTTTGTCCCCCAGTGCCAAGACCAGTATCCTCCCCACTGCCCCAGCCCGTCTGGCCAGCTAAGGGTGGGGCTCAGGTGTGGGAACCGGGTGATGCCTTTGTGAGTACCACCCTTGACCCTCTGGGGTCTCCCCTTGCCCACTCAGGGGCCCAGGCCTGTGTGACGCTGACGAACAGGACAGGCTTCCTGTGCCATGACCGGAGCAGCTGCATCTTGGCCAGCGGGGTCTGTGATGGCATCCGCACCTGTCCCCACGGCGAGGATGAGGACGAGGCCTTGTGCCGTGAGTACCTGCTCAGTTCTGCCCCTGTCCCAGATGCACCCTCAAGGGTCCCTTGGAGGTTGCCCTCCAATTCCAACTACCCCTGAAGCCAAACTGAAGCTCAACCATCCCCGAAATCTCCAGGTACCTTTATGTCCTCAGGCCTTTGCATATATGAAGCCCTCAGCCAGGAACACCTGCCTCCACCCGCACACCTACGTACGTGCCCACACTAGTGAATGCCTTCGCTCTGTGCGTCTTCATGTCCAGAGAACCTGCACTCAAACTTCATGGCAGAGTTCAAGTGTTACCTCCACCAGGAAGCCTTCCCTGTCTCCCAAACTAGGTTAAGGTCCCTGCTTTGGGCTGCCACAGCCCCCGTGCTTCCCTGTGTCCCAGCCTTAGTCACCTTGGCACATTTGCCACAGCCATCCGCTGTGAACTCCTCTGGGGCAGGCCTGGTCTGCTTGATCTTGGCCCCAGTGCCTGTCACAGGGCATGACACACAGGGGTCTGCAGAATGGTTTGCTGAATGAGTGCAGGAATGAATCAGTGAATGGGAAGATCTGGTCCCAGACCTTAAAGACCTGACAGTTCTCAGGAGAGAGGAGCCAGGACACTTTCCATGGAGGAGGGAGAGAGCCTGATGAGTTGGAGTGGGTGGGGTGGGGGAGCTAGTGGGAGGAGGGTCATTACATCACAAACCCTCAAGACTAGAAAAGATCTTAAAAGTCACCTTGTCCATGTCCCAAGCCCCTCTATAACGAATCCAACACAGCCCACCCAGCTTCTATTTGCACTACAACTTGAGGCAGCTGCACCCATCATTGCATGGTTTTTCAATGGGAATGTCTCCCTTGTCCTGAGTTTAAAGCTGCGTGCCAGTAGCATCCTTGATTAGTTCCAGCTCTGCTCTCTCATCGACCCCTGCCCCCCCACAAAGCCACATTTCAATCTGTCTCCCATGGATGATGGTGTACTGGATGGATTTGGAAATTGCTTTCTCAACCCCCATGAATGCCCCCTTCCCCAGGCCACACTCTGAACCCCACAGTCATCCCTCTCCAGGTTTTCCCCACTCCACCAGCACTCCACAGAACACATACCAACTGCCCATGTCCTTCTCCCTGTACAGGCTCCGAAAGCATTTCTGACGTTTCTAACCAGCTCTGGCTAGTCCAAGGAACAAAGGCTTTCTCCCTCTCAGGTTTGAGTTATACCTGTAGTTAGGTGGCCTGAATCACATTAATTTTTGGTAGCCCTGTCACACTGCTGCCTAACACAGAACACACTTTCAAGAAAGGTGCTCTGACATCCTCTCATAAGAGGTTCTGGGACCCAAGTGCAAGATTTCACATCTATTTTTTTTTTTTTAGCTGAGGCATCCTGCCACCTGTTGGCAGCTCAGTGACTGCTCAGCTCAGGCCGGGACTCGAACCATTGTTGCTCAGAGCTCAAACTCTTGAGCGAGCTCTTAACCAACTGAGTTACTCAGTCGGCCCTTCACATCTATTCTTATTATGTTCCAGTTGGAGGAAGCTTCCTGGAGGTGAAGGAATTTGAACCTGGACTAGGAGTGGAATGGTTTTGGATAGGTGTCAAGGAGGACATTTGTGGAGGGAGGAATAGTGCAGGCAGTGGTGTGGGGTGGGGATGCACAAGACCTGAATAGGGAATGAGGAAGGGAGAGGCAGCTCTCTGGGCATCTTTTTAGGGGTACAGGGAAAGAACACTCCTCTCGTCTTGACTCAACCTCCTCCCCAGGAACCTTCTCTGGTGCCCTTCTTTGGATGGGTGCATGGTGACCCTGAGTTTGGCAACTGCCAGGGTGGCCGGGACCACCCACCTCCAGTAGCCTGGAGACAGCTGTGGCCAGATGTGGACTTTTCCTCCTGCCTCATCTGTCCCTCTGTAGGAGATGTGCCCCAGAGCCTCCCTAGTTTCCTTGTGGCCCGCTGTGGAGACCCGGCTTCCTGGATCTACTCAGACCATAAGTGTGATGGGACCAACAACTGCGGGGACTGCTCAGATGAACTGAGTCCAGGTGGGGGTCTGGGCACAGGTGGGACTGGGGCAGGTGCCCAGGCAGTGGTCAGAGGGCAGAGGTTGACCAGGGCATCTCTGAGGTTCCCCTCCCTGCATCTCCTCCTTGCATCCTAGGGGTGGAAGTTTTCCACACCTGCTCGGATGCCTCCAGTGGAGGGGTGCTCACCACCACACTAAGTGGCTCCTTCTGGAGGTTTATTCTTTGCTGGGGAACTTACTTTCAAGGACACAGATGAGGAAACTGGGTCTCAGAGGGTGATCATGCAAGGAGTATGTACGTGGCCCAACTGGGAATTGAACTTGAGTTTCCCTCATCTCCTCTGCACCTCTCAACAACCCTGTGAGGAAAGCAGGGCAGGAATCACTGGCCCCAATTTATATGTAGGTAAACTGAAGACAGAGAGGAGAAGGGACTTAATACAATGAGTGATAGGAAGGGAGCTCAAATGTAAATCCAGATCTCCTGACTCCAAGTCTGGTGTCCTTTCACTGCCCTGGTTTCCTTTCCATCTCTTCCTGACTGTTCAATCAACACACATGGTCTGAGCACCATTGGGGGCTGAGCCTGTGCCAAATTCTGTGGGGGGACATTCAGGAGCCAAACATGTCCTACCCCTAGTTCTCACATCATACTGATGAAAAAAGGAAGTGTTGAAGACCTGGGGAGGTTTTTTTGGTATGGGGTAGGGGTTGTGTTAAGAATCAAGGAAGACTTCTCTCAGCATTCAAGCAGGCCTCAGAGAAAAGACAAGGTTTCAACAGGCAGAGGCTGAGTGTGCAGGGAAGAATGCTGGAGGCCCAGGACAAAGGAGGGAAGTCTGTAAGGCCCCCTCATGGAGTCCTAAGTGGGCTAGTGTGGCTGAGTCAGAGTGAGGGAGGCAGGATGGGCTGGGGAGACAATATGCACCCCCTTAATAATTGAACATTGACCATGTGCCTGGCACTCTTCCTTAACAACAACCTTGAGTAGATAAGGAAACTGAGGCTCAAACAGGGTGAGAGACTTGCCTGAGGTCACCTCGCCAATGAGTTGGGGTCTAGATTCTCTCTTCTGCAGGGAATAAGGAATACAGTCAACCTATGTCAGATGCGGTGGAGCTTTGGGGAGCTATGGCAGGTGTCAGAGCTAGGGAGTGTCCTGGTGCACTGGGCGTTCCAAGACACTGCAGCTTCTCTTCTGTTGGCTCTTGTCCCCCCAGTGACTGCATGCCCACCCTGTGGCCCTGGCTGGTGGCGCTGCCCCTCAACTGTCTTCCAGTATTGTGGCTGTATCCCAAGGAGCCTCTGCCGGGACCACGTGCAGCACTGCTCCGACTGGTCGGATGAGTACGGCTGTCCTGGACCCTGAGTGGGCACCCAGACCGGAGCGGGAGGCTGTTTGGAATGGCACTGATAACCCTTTATATGAGAATCAAATCCAAGAACATGAGGGCAAGAAGGAGTCTTCAAGATCGTCTGATGAGATCTATGCACTGTCATCTCTGAATAAGAATTCTCTCCTGCATTAAGATGCCCAGCTTCTCCTTGAATGCATCCAGTGACAGGGAGCTCACTACCATGTTAGGCAGCTCCTAACAAGGATGAGGGGAATCTGCCTCCATGATTTTAGGTCTGCCTCTGGGGCCCCACAGAGAAAACCTGCTCCTCTGCTCCAAGACAAGCTTGCGGATCCTGACCTTATCACCCCATGGAACAAAGATAAGTCTGGGACTCAAACACCAAGTTGAGGAGCTTAGCCCTTAGGGATGGTACATATGGGAAGTGTATGCCACTTCCCGTCCATTTGGTCCCTAAGGCAGGTCTTGCTGGGCTAGGCTGCAGTCTTAGCATTTTTCTCATCTCAGTAACCCTAGCAGGTCCTACTGACTGATCACATGAGATTACACCTGAGACAGGGCATTTGTCATCCTGCCAATGGGAAGCCATCCAGGAGGCTCTGAGCTGTAGAGTAGAAGGTCTGGAGAAAGCAGCACTTCTGTCTGTCCCATTCTCTACCCTATCACTCCCCACCCTCTACCCCATGACCAGTGCCCAGCCAAACAGCCCAGGTTTCTTGTAGTATGAATTGTATGTTGTTGGTTCCAAAGTCTGAGCGAATGAGCTATTTCTCTGCATACTTTTCTAGCTTCACAACACCCAGACAGCCAAGGATGGATGTCCGCCTTAAACAAATGAGAAAACTGAGGCTCAGAGGGAGAAATGACTTGCCCAGGATCATACAGCACAGTCAGTGCTGGAACTGGGACTCACACACAGTCTATGATATCCCAACCCTGAACCTTTCCTGCTATCAATGTGATTATATTTTGGCAGAGTGGGGAGGGGGGCGTGCAGAGTCCCTGTGGGGTATTTTTTAAAGTAGATTGAGGGTCAGAAAGTGTCCCACCCTTATTCTGAAAGAGAGACTTGGAATTTGGCCAACAAGAGTGTTGCTGTTGAGGGACAGAGACATATCCGCATTGGAAATTAAATAAAATCAGTTATATATATATCAGTCTCGTGTGAGTTTTGAACTGAAAATGGGCAACTAAGAGACAGGTGAGCCCTGATTCATTCATCACTCACTAAACAGTCTCTTTGTACCTGCTTTGAGCCAAGCCAGGTGCTGGGCACCCAGGAGTGAAGAGACCTGGGTCCCAGCATACGAGGAATGCAGGGTCTCATAAAGGAGGCACCTCACACTGTGGAGATGGGTGGGACAACAGGAGTGCACCAAAGAGGGGCCTCTGGAAGCCAGTACACAATCGTGTTTCTGACCCTCATGACCTGAAGACAAGCTCCTGGAACAGGGCTCCTCAGGGATCCTGCCCGAGGGACAGTCAGCCCTGGATGCTAGCACCTTTGGCTGAGTTTCTGTCCAACTGCAGCAAAAGCAAGGAGCTGCGGGCATGCTAAGGGCATCCTGGGTTCTGGTGACTGATCCAAGGGAGCCTCCTTCCCAGAGGAGGGGCATTTGGGCTGGCTCTGGAGGACGTCCAATAGTACAGGCAGAGGAGAAGGGCATTCCTGGAGAAAGGCCATTGAAACGAAGGCACGGGGGTGTGACAGGGTACAGTTCAGCCAGGGAATGCCAGTGTGGTTCAGGCCAGGGTAGCCAAAGCTTCGACGGGAGGGGACAGTAGTAGGTGACCAGTGACAGGATCCTGGAGGGCATAGCGTGTCACACTCATCCTAAGGATAGTGGGTGTCATCAGGGCATGATAAACAAGGACAGTATCTGGAGCTACAATGAACTTTAATTACAATAGTCCAAGCAAAAGATGCCAGAGCTTGGACCAAGTGGGAAGAGAAGGGGGATGATTAAGGGCTACTTACTGGTGGAATACACGGGCCTTAGGGCTCTGCAGAGCGGGGGTCAGGGGGAGAAGAGGAAGACAGAGGAGTCCGGAGGCCTGAAAAGGAGCACCTGACCTCCTGCCCTGGGCCATGCCTTCTCTAACAGGACGCCGGTCTCCAGGGGAAGAGAGAGGGTTGACCTGGCTCCCGGGGAACAAGAAAAAGTCCAGAAGCTCATTCCGGTGCTCAAATGCCAACATGTTGCTGACGTCCTGAACATCAGCTGTTGAAAACAAGGTTGCTGGGGAGAGGCCGTGGGAACATGAGCCTGTGTTTGCTCATACCAGTCAGCCTCGGTGGTTCAGGCAGCAGGAGAGCACAGTTCCCGGCAGGGGCTGCCGGTGCTGCGGTTGGGCCTTACAGGTGGACTTCGGGGGTCATCCAGTCCTGGTCTTCTTCAGTGGCCTGTGGCTCTTCTCGGAAAAAACGCCCAGAGGCACCGGCACCGCAGGCTGCATATCATTTTACCCTCCCTTCCCAACCAAGCCCATCCACAGGCCCCTGGGGTTACAGATGCTTCATTTGACAGGATGTTGATAAATCAAGGCTGAGACCAACTTGTCCAAGTTCACTCAGCAAGTCAGCAGCAGACTGAGGACTAAAAACTAGGTTTCTTTTCTTTTCTTAAATTTAAATATATTAGGATAACATCGGTTAATTACATTATGTAAGTTTCAGGTGTACAATTCTATCATACATCTGTATATCGCATTGTGTGTCACCACCCAGTCTAGCCTTCTTTTGTCACCATATATTTGACCCCCTTTACCTGTGTCTGTGTCTGAGTTTGTTTGTTTGGTTTCTTTGTTACTTTTTGTTTTATATCCCACATATGAGTGAAATCATACAGCTCTTGTTCTTTTCTGTCTGACTGATTTCACTTAGCATGATACTCTCAAGATCCACCCATGTTGTCACAAATGTAAAAGCCAGGTTTCTAGGTACACACATTAGCCCTTGGCAAGCACTTACTGTGAGCCAGGCACTGCGCAAGGAGTTTTCCCTCTCATTCTCTCTACAGCACTCTAAGGGAGGTACTGCTTTTACAGGAGGCTTGGACAGGTCAGGCAGCTTGTTGCAGGGCACATGACTGGTGGGGTGCAGAGCCAGGTGTCTGGGCACTCAGCCAAGGTCGTTTGCTGTTTTATGTTATGCCTCATGAGGTCTGGAAGCTTCCAGTGGTGATGATGCCTGAGCAGGGCCATGGTGGAGCCAAGTGGGAAGCAGGGACAGGGCAGTCCCAGCTGAGGAGCATGAAGCGGTCCCCTATGACTGGAGAGTGAAGAAGTGCCTCAGATTCTGGGCTGCAGGGAGTGGGTTTGACTCCAGGCTGCAGCGTGCTGGTAGAGGATGTCTGCAGGAGGAACATACTGGTTTCCTCCTTCTGAAGAGGGGCTGCAGAGAAGGTTCCCCTCCTCTGTACGTTAGGTCTAAGGATGTCATGGTCAGACTACATTGCAGGCTGTGGAGAGGAAACAGTGAGATCTGCAATGTGAACGCCACTTGGAAACAGTAAAGCTTCTAGTAGAGGAAAGGGGAGTGCCAAGCGCTGTGCTAAGGGCTTGGGTGAACATTAACAGCCAATATTCAGTGAGCATTTAGTACACTGCAAACTTCTGTCTGTCTTGTCTCCTGTATCTCATTTTCTCTAATCCTCACAGCCTTTCCAGGAACCTGTTTTGGTTATGCACACTTTACAGAGGCATGAAATTGCTTGCTTAAGATCACACAGCTTTTAAAAGGCGGAGCCAGAACCAAAGCTTGGTAGGCCCGAATCCAGAGCCCACCATACCCTCTCCGAATGCCCACTGTTTCTCAGCAGGGGCTCCTGGAGCCCAGGCCAGGGGGCAGCAGCCTGTAAACAGGACATGGCTGGGGCTAGCAGACAGCATTTGTTTTTTTTCTTATTTATTGGTTCTTCCTTTTCAGAAAGCAGATGCGGTAGCAAACTCCCCAACAGCATTCCATAAACTGGGTCCAGAAAGACACAGAGCCCAGGGCAGCCAGCCAGCGTGGTCCCCTGGTTCACATCAGCAGAGCAGGGGATTTAGTGCCACAGTCTGTAGCGAGAACCCAGCAGCCTGAGTCAATATTTGCCATCTCCCAGCCTCCACCGCCCGGCTCCAAGATCCAAGATCAGTACTTTAAGTCCGACAGGTTCTTTGCTGTGCAAACATGAAGGGATAGATGGATGGAATTTAAAGTGGCTCAGCCTACGTCCCAGGATTTGGACTGGAAATTTGGTTTGGTTTAACCCTCTGGCATCACTGTTTGCCTGGGACTCTCCATTCATCCTTAGACTCACGAAACCACAGACATCAGAGCTGGGGAGGAGCTCAGAACCCAGCCCGGCTTTTGACAAGAGGACACAGCTTCCCAAAGAGGGAAGGGGCCAGCCTAAAGTGACACTGCCTGGTGGCTGCCACTGGGATTCTGAGGGCCACCCAGTAACTCCAGGTCAAGGTAGAATCAATTTCTCTGAGACCTTTAAAAAAATTTTTTTTAAGTGAGATATAATTTACATACAATGAAATACACAGATCTTAAGTATACAGTTCAATGAGTTTTTAAAAACAGCTTAATGGAAGTATAATTGACCTACAATAAGCTACACATATTTAAAATGTACACTTTCATAAATTTTGCCATATGTATATACTCATGAAACTATCACAATTAAGATAATAAATGTGTCCATCACTCTCAGGTATCCTTGTGCCCCTTGGTAATCCTTGTGCCGTTTGGTAATCGCTTCTCCTCGTCTTCACCTCCATACACAGGCAACCACAGATTTATTTTCCATCAGTATTGAGTAATTTGTACTTTTCTAGAATGTTATGTAAATGGAATCATACAGTATATACTTTTGTGTGTGTGTGTGTGTGTCTGTCTGGCCTCTTTCACTCAGAAGACCTACTATGAGATTTATCCATGTTGTAGCATGCCCAATAGTCATTCTTTTTGTTGGTGAGTAGTATTTTGTTGTATGGATATGCCATAATTTGTGCATTTCAGGGTGCAGAGATGCACTCTTCACTTACCCATTCATTTGTTAATGGATTTTGGGTTATCCCCAGTTTTGGCTATTACAAATAAAGCTGTTATAAACATTTATGTACAATTCTTTAATGCATGTATGCTTTCATTTATATTGGGGGAGTGGAAGGGCTGTATTTGGTAGGTGTATGTTTAACTTTTTATGAAACCGCCTGTATTCCAAAGTGGTTGTATCATTTTACGTTCCTGCCATTAGAATATGGCAAGCTCTGTATGCTTGCCAACATTTGGTATGGTCAGCCTTTTCAATTTTCACTATTCTAACAGGTGTGTTGTAGCATCTTATCGCAGTTTTACTTTGCATTTCCCTAATGATTAATGATGTTGATCATCTTTTCATGTGCTTTTTTACCATCCATGAATCTTCCTTGGTGAAAACCATCCATGTATCTTCCTTGGTGAAGGGTATGTTCAAGCCTTTTTTTATTTTATTAAATCGTTTGTTTTTCATTATTGAGTTTTGAGAGTTCTTTACATATTATGAATACACATCCTTAATCAGAAACATGATTTGCAAATATTTCTCGTAGTCTGTGGCTTGTCTTTTTGTTCTTTAACAGTGTCTTTCAAAGAGCAGAAGTTTTTTTCAAGCCAGCCAAGTGGCTCAGTTGGTTAAGAGTGTGAGCTCTGAGAAACAGGGTCACCGGTTCGATTTCCACATGGGCCAGTGACGCTGCGCCCAAGCTGAGCTGCCGTGTAGCTGTCAATAGGTGGCAGGATGGCTCACCTGGTGAGAGCACGTGCTCCTAACAACACGGTTGCCAGTTCGATTCCCGCATGGGATGGTGGGCTATGCCCACCCGCAACTAATATTGAACACAGCACCTTGAGCTGAGCGGTGGATGGTGACTGGACTTGGAGCTGAGCTAGCTGCGTCCTCCGCAACTAAGATTGAAGGACAACAACTTGGCTGTTCCCCTTCCCCAATTCCCCAATAAAATCTTAAAAAAAAAAATAAAAAAGAGCAGAAGTTTTTCATTTTGATGAAGTCCAGTTTATCAAACTTCTTTTTTATGAATTTTGTTTTCTGTATTTAAGAAATCATTGCCTAACCCAAGGTCACAAGGATTTTATCCTATGTATTCTTCTAGAAGGTTTATGGTTTTAGGTTTTATAATTAAGTCTATGATTTATTTTGAGTTAATTTTTGTAGATGGTGCAAGGAATGAATCAAATTTTTGTTGCGGTTGTTTTTGCACATGGAATTCAATTGTTTCAGCACCATTTGTTGAAAAGACATTCCTTTCTCTATTGAATTGCCTTTGTATCTTTGTAAAAAAAATCAGTTATCCATCTATTTGTGGTTTATTTGTTCCTTTGATCTATTTGTCTATCAATACCACACTGTCATGATTCCTGTCGCTTTATAATAGGTCTAGAAATTGCATAGTGTTAGTCCTCCTACTTTGTTCTTTTTCAAAGCTGTTTGGCTATTCAAGGTCCTTTGCATTTCCATATGAATTTTAGACCCAGTTTGCTAATTTCTGTAGAAAAGTTCTGTTGAAATTATTATTGGGATTGCATTGAAACTACAGATCAAATTTGGGGAGAGCTGCCATTTTAACATTGTTGTGTTGTCTCACCCATGATTACATTATATCTCTCCCTTTATTTGTTCTCAGTAATGTTTTATAGTTTTCTTCCTTTGTCTGATTTATCCCTAAGTATTTCATATTTTTTGAGGGTAAATAGTATTTTTAAATTTTAATTTCTAGTATATAAAAATACATTTAATTTTTATGTATTGATCATGTATCATACAACCTTGCTAAACTCATATTAATTCTAGTAGAATTTTTTTTTTGTAGATTCCATCAGGTTTTCTATATAGATAATCATATAGTCTATGAATAAAGGTAGTTTTATTTCTTTGTTTCCAATCTGCATGTCTTTTATTTCTTCTCTTGTCTTAGTTCAGTGGGCGTTGACAATTTTGAGTAGGAGTAGTGATAGCAGACACTTGCCTTACTGGTCTCATACATTCCTGATCTAGAGGAGAAAGCATTCAGTCTTTTACCATGAGCGAAATGTTACCTGTAGGTTTTTTGTAGATGCCCTTTCTCATACTGGGGAAGTTTCCTTCTATTCCTTGTTTGTTGAAAGTTTACGTCGGGAATCGATGTTGAATTTTGTCAAATGTTTTTTCTGCATCTATTGAGATGATCTGTTTTGTTTGTTAATGTGGTGACTTACATGAATTTCTTTCCAAATGTTAAACTAATCTTGCTTCCCTGAGCTAAATTCCACTTGGTCATACTGTATTATCATATATCTATATCTCTATATAGCTATATCTATATACAGTAAAACCTTGGATTGTGAGTAACTTGTTTTGCAAGTGTTCTGCAAGACAAGCAAACATTTCTAATACATTTTAACGTGGTAAACGAGCAATGTCTTGCAATACGAGTTGTTAGTTTCCAGAAGAAATTATGCTCACAAACCAAGGCATTACTGTAGTTGGATTTGATTTGCTAAAATTTTGTTGAGAATTTTTTCACCTGTGTTCATGAGGGACATTAGCCTGCAATTTTCTTTTCTTGATAAAGTAACGTCTTTGCCAAGTTTTGGTATCAGAGTAATGTGGGCCTCATACATGGGTTGGGAAGTGTTCCTTCCTCTTCAGTTTTCTGTAATAGTTTGTATAGAATTGGTACTATGTCTTCTTTAATATTTGATGAAAGTCAGGAGTGGAGCCACCTGTTCTTGGAATTTTCTTTATAGGAAGGTTTTAAACTAAAATTTCAACTTCTATAATACCTATCTCTTTTTGAGTGAACTTTGGTAATATCTTTTAAGGAATTTATCCATCTCGTCAAACTTGTTGAATTTATTGGCATAAAGTTATTTGTAATAGTCCCTTATTATCTTTTTAGTATCTATAGAATTAGTGGTAATGCCACCTCTCTTATTCCTAATATTCATAATGTGTGTCTCCACTCTTTTTTTCCTGATCAGTTTAGCTAGAGGTTTGTCAGTTTCACTGATATTCTCTTTTTTTTTTCTTTGTTGGTCTTGCTAGAAATATACCATTCTGTATGAGAAGAATGTATATTCTGCTGCTTTGGGAGTCTATAAATCAGGTCTAGTTGGTTCATAGTGTACTATATCCTGCTGATTTTCTGTCTACTTCTTCTATGAATTGAGAGGGGGTATTAAAATCTCCAACTAGCCACTGCTTTTCTGAAGAGTAAGGACTGTTGCAGCCTGGAGCCCTGGTGGCCAGAGACCATTCCCCTTTTCTACTGGTTTGTTCCTTGTAGCATACAAACATCTGCTGTGTTGCTGTCTTTCTGATATCAAAATAGACTTCTATATCGGGTTCTCCTCTGGCTACTTTCTCAACTCCAAATCAAATTGCTGGTACCTATATCTCCTGCCCTCTTTGCACCAGGGGGTATGGCTGGGGACCTCCACGGTCTTGGAACACACCCTTCTCTTGGCTTCTGTAATGGTGAACTCTCCTGATTTCATTCTTCTACAACCATGTCTTCTCAGTTGCCTTTTCCTCTGCTTCCATTTAGATGTTGCCATTCTCTGGGACTCCATCTTTAGCCATCTGCTCACCCCATTTTATCTCAGTGGTTCGTAATTGGGGGGGGTATATTTTCTCCCCTTTGAGAATGTGATGATGGCAGTGGGTCCACCCCACAGGGTGGGGGTTAGGGTGGAAAACCCCACATTTACCCAAACACACATTTTTTCATGCAATTCAAGGTTCTTACCCTGAAGCCTGTTTTTTCTGATTTCATTCTTTTTTTTTCTTTAAGATTTTATTGGGGAACTGGGGGAGGGAACAGCATTGGGAAATTGGGAAAGGAGAACAGACAAGTTGTTGTCCTTTTGTTCTTCAGTCTAGTTGTGGAGGACGTTGCTTCACTGGCCCATGTTGGTATTGTGACCATGGCGCTCTTCCTGGCTGAGGCAGATCGGTCACCAGCCATTGGACAACCGCTCACAGTGGCTTACAGCAGCTCACGGCAGCTGCTGGCCACTCACGCTGGCTGCCGGCCACTCACGGTAGCTTACAGCAGCCCACTGCAGCAGGGGCTGCAGCCTACGCTGTCACCTGCGACTTACGGCAACCCAGTTCCTCTTAGCTGTAGAGGGCAGTGCCACTGGCCCATGTGGGATCCGAACCAGTGGCCCTGCTGCTCAGAGCTTGCACTCTCAAGCCAACTCATAACCAAAGAGCCACACGGCCGGCCCCTGATTTCATTCCTATCCCTGGCTTCTTCCCAGTCTTTCTCCCAGGTCCATAGCTCTCTTGACCCTCAGACTACCAGATTAATAGTCTCCTAGACAGTGTCATCTGGTTGTCCCTCAGGCACCATAAGCTCTACAAACTCCAAACTGAACTCATCTGACACCTGGACTTGTTCCTGCTTTGGTGCTCCCATTTCAGCGGTTACTTCCTTCAGGCTAAAACCATGAAGTCATCTTTGAAACACTCCCTCTTCCATAGGTCAACACCAGCTCTTTCAGTTCCACAACCAAGCTTCATAGCAGCAGTGTCTGTGTTGTTCATTATGGGTCCCATCACTGAGCAGAATGCTTGGCTCAGAACAGATGCTCAACAAATAGGTACGGAGTGAATGATGACATCTTACTGCCATCCCCTTTGCTGTATCCCCATGCCTTATCTCAGACCTCCCTTGGCTCCTCAGGGACTTCCTCTCCCTGCCAGCTTCCACCTAATAGCCAGAGGCATCTTTCTAAAACACAGACCTCTCATCTCTGCTTTAATCCCTTGCATAGCTCCCTGTGATTTTCAGGATAAGGGCCTTCCCCTGAAGTGGACCCTGCTGGATGCTCTGGCTTTAGTGCTCAACTCTCTCCCATTCCCATCGGCTCCAGCCACCCAGAGCATCCCATGTGGAAATGCTGCCACTCATTTCCACACTCCATGGAGCCTGAAATGCCTGGCCCCTCTCTTTGATTTGATAACTCATATTCATCCTTCAAAACTCAAGCATCATTACCTTTTAGGAAGCATTTCCTGCCTCACAGATCTTAGCATTCCTTCACTGTGGTCCCAAAGCCCTTAAAACTACCCACATCACAGTACTGATCACACTAACTGTACTTGAGAAGTCATTTGTCTGTTCCCTACTTGAGGGCAGGAACTCTTATTTGCTCTAACAAAGCCCACAATAGGTGCCCAATAATTGTTTGCCACATTGAGTGAAAGGATGAATGTATTAGCAAAGATTTTCCAGAGAAACAGAACCAAGTTTCTCTCTCTCTCTCTCTCCACACACACACACACACACACACAGGGATTTATTCTAGGGATCTTTTCTCTTAGGCCTAAACTGATTGGATGAGGCTCATCGACATCATTATGGAGAGTAATCTGTTTTACTCAAGACCTACTGGTTTAAATGTTAGTCACCTATGTAATACTTTC